CGACCATCATTTACCCATAAACAAAACCTTGATTCATCACTGAAGACGATGTTATTCCATTTATGAACCCACCCATGACGTTTTTGACACCATGCAAGTCTGGCTGCTTTATGGGGAGATATTAATGGAAGCAGAAAGTAAGGACGGTATGAATGAAGCCCAAAGGAAGAAATTCTTCTGTAAACAGTTGCCATCGATAAGTGTCGGTTCAAAACTCTCATCCAATCCACAGCAATCGACCTTGTTGATTGAAATCGATCCCTGGTAGCCATCCGCCTAAGCAGTCGGTCTTCACGTGCGTTGCTTCTTCGGGCGGGTCTTCCAGCAGGACTCTGAATACCTTCTTCGGACCATAAAGTCCATATCTGAGCAACTGTAGTGTGGTCCCGATTCAGCCTTGTCCCAATCTTTCGGAATGAGAGACCCGCCTCTTTCATAGCGATAATTCGGCTCCTATCAAAGTCACACTGAGGGCATTACAAGGCGTCTACTTGACAGTTTGACAATCAAATAAACTGACATTTTGTGGGCAGATATTCATTAATTGCTAGGAAGAAAATATTGAAAGTTGGACATAATAATGAGTTGAGTTTTTCGGCGGAATCTTTCATCGTTTTTTAATTCATAATAAAGCATTATTTTACCGAAGTTTCAAAAAATTGTATAAGGAGGCAAAATCATATAGAAAAAGGACACGTAACGTGATACATGGGGCAGGAGGATCTACATTCTACAAGATGCGCTAAGCAAAACATGAGCACAATTTGCAATAGCTTTAGAGATGAGATTTCCAACTACGTCGTTGAATGGACTAATACAGAGAAACTTAGAAATTTATGGAATGTAGATGATGGATGCACACTATCTTCTACAAGGCTAGAGGTTCACTACAATTTCCTAATCTTTTCGTTTTACTAATGCTGATTAGAGCATTTTTTGAGTTATGGCTAACCATATTACAAAATACATGTGTACCCCATGAAAATATAATTGTCGCCGAACAGTTACTCACATTAATATTCTTTCTAAACCAGGATGAAGTATGGAATAAAGATTTNGACAAGTCCGGTGACCGTGCAGGCCAGGGCAAAATCTGCAATCCAACCTGCTCCAGGAACTTTCTTGTAACCACAGCAATATGGTGTCTTGCATTATCCAGTTGGAAAGTGGCATTCTGCAACGTCTGCATGAAAGGTACTAACACCGGTTCCAGAATGTTGTCGATGCAACGATGTGCGTTTAATGTGCCTGGAATGAACGTAAGGGCTGACCGTCATCCAACATATATCGCCCCCCAATCCGTAATCCCAGATGTTAAGGCTGTGTGTCGTCTTTGAACGAACTGCAAATTCACCCATCATTACGACCATCATTTACCCATAAACAAAACCTTGATTCATCACTGAAGACGATGTTATTTCATTTATGAACCCACCCTTGACGTTTTTCACACCATGCAAATCTGGCTGCTTTATGGGGAGGAGGTATTAATGGAAGCCGAAGGTAAGGACGGTATGAATCAAGCCCAAAGGAAGAAATTCTTCTGTAAACAGTTGCCATCGATAAGTGTCGGTTCAAAGCTCTCATCCAATCCACAGCCATCCGCCTAAGCAGTCGGTCTTCATGTGCGTTGCTTCTTCGGGCGAGTCTTCCAGCAGGACTCTGAATACCTTCTTCGGACCATAAAGTCCATATCTGAGCAACTGTAGTGTGGTCCCGATTCAGCCTTCTCCCAATCTCTCGGAATGAGAGACCCGCCTCTTTCATAGCGATAATTCGGCTCCTATCAAAGTCATTGATATGGGCAAAATTTCGACAACGTCACACTGAGGGCATTATAAGGCGTCTACTTGACAGTTTGACAATCAAATAAACTGACATTTTGTGGACAGAAATTCATTAATTGCTAGGAAGAAAATATTGAAAGTTGGACATAATAATGGTACAGGAAACATAACAGTTAAGTTTTTTGGCGGAAACTTTCATCGTTTTTTAATATAGGGAGCCAAAATCATATAAAAAAATGATACGTAATGTGATACATGGGGTAGGAGGAAAAATCATGATTTGAACTAATTATCAGCGATTAGAGCATTTTTTGAGTTATGGCTAACCATATTACAAAATACATGTGTACCCCATGAAAATATAATTGTCGACGAACAGTTACTCACATTAATATTCTTTCTAAACCAGGATGAAGAATGGAATAAAGATTTGGAGAGCCTATTTGTCTTCTATTGGAATTAAAACAAATTCTTAAATTTAGTTCTCTAACTTTGTTTTCTAACATAATTTTTTCTTTGTAATACATACTTATTTCTGAGAATTCATTACATTCCATTTAATCATTGAAACTTTTTTATCATTTCAACCATTCTGTCCTCATCTCACCCAGTTTACGTATTGAATTAATCAAATATATAATTTATCTTAGAGGTATCTTCTAATCTTCATGATGTTGTCACCAGTTTATTATTAAATGTTTTATCTAACTGTTATTTATTTATCTTTTTCGTGTTATACATTTTTTGGGTAAATATGTAAATGTTGGGATTTACCAGGTAAAATGTTCACTTTTAATCTCGGAATGAAGGATATCTTCAATCACATTTTCCTTTGGCGCTTCCTTGCTACGTTTTCTTCTCGTTACGTTGTTTATCGTTGTTGAGTATTAAAGTGATGCATCTGAAACATCTTGTTTGTCATTAGACGTAAAATTTAATTACGAGAGGTTAATGAGGAAACGATATTGGGGTTATCTCGTTAATACTTGTAAACTTCCATAAATGATGTGCACTAGTCCTAACATTGAACTAGGAAATTAGAAAGAAAAGTATTAATTGAAGTGACACCATTAAGAAATAACAGCTGCACACGATATTGAGGAATCCAACGTCATTTACTAATATGTTAAAATATTACTCCAACATACAACTTGACGTACTCTTTCTGCAAAATTGTAGCAGTCGAATAATGGATACTAAAAGTACTAAGTGGTGCTCAATTACAAGACCTCTCTCTCTATATATTCAGCATCTCATTCAGCCTTCTGCATATTTTTTAACTTTTTTATGTTTTTTCTGCCATCATCATACCAGCGCAAAATGGGACGTCCTGTGTTCTTTTCTCTCCCTACAGTTTTCATTCAGTTGCTTCTCTGTTCTCTCCATCCTACCGATGTGACCCTCCCAACGCCATTTCGCTTTCAACATTCCATCTTGGTGCATTGTCTTATCCATTCCATTAATTTCCATTTGATCTTGTATCTTGTTCATATATTTCTTGATGAGTGCCCATGTTTCAGCACTATGAGTACTACATCATCTGCTTATTTAATTTTTGTCCTTCGATACTAATTCCACAGCTTTGCCAATGCAGTGTCCTGAATATGTCTTGTAGTACTTATGTGATTAGCTTCGTCGATATAAAATCTCTTTGTCTTACTCCTCTTTCCAGTTCGATTCTTTCTGTTTCTGCGTGGATCTTAAGTATATTCGTTGCTCTCTTATAGATATTTTTAATAAGAATCAATTCTACAGTTTTCCAGTGCAGTTACTATCGCCCATATTTTAATTGAATCAAATGCCTTATTATAGTCAAAAAACGCTATAGATCTCTGTTATATTCTAGAGATTTTTCTATGATATTGTGTAGTGACTGGAGATGATCTAAACTGCAATAGTGTTTCCTATAACCTGCTTGCTCACTATTATGATACAGGTCGAATTTGTTATTTTCATGTGTAATTTATATACTTGGCACAAGATCCTTATTGAATGGTAGTTCTGTTTTGTGTAACAATATCAATATCCCATTTGATGAAATGAAACTAAATCGACCATCAGGAGATGACAATATAACAACAAAAACATTATAATTAATAGGAGTAGTGTAAAGTCATTATTCAATTAATTTCACAACTTTTTTACCGAAATATATTGTGGATGACTCAGTGGCCATTTATCGGTAGCGAAATCGATTGAAATGAAATGACAATTTTATAGACCTGTTTTCTCAAGGTAAAAGTTATCATCTAGGATTGTTACTAAAGCAATGCAACGGAATGAAAATTACTGTTCCAACATATGCTTTGCAACGTAATTTGCACGCCTCGTCGTGAAACGTCTGATTCATACCGAAAAAATAGAATGAAATCAACACTGATTGCAGAAAAGAAATGTTAATATTTTCTTTTAATTCATTTATTTCCACCCCACTCTGTTTATTAATTTTTTTTTTATTTAATTTGTGCTCAATTATTAAAGTTTTTTTTAATCTTTGATGATCCGAAGATAAAGTACAATCGATAGAAATGAAAATTGTTTTAAAAAGAATTCTGTGTTATATAACGTATAATAACCTGTTATTATCTTTTGTGGTGATTGTCTTGGATTTATTGCCAATAACTTTGCTAGTAGAAACAGATTTTCTTTTAATACCTCGCAGATTAAATACTTTGGTGATTATGTCTTGTAATTGAATTACTTTTTTATTATCACTCTTTGTAAAAAATGTCTAATTAAAAACATTTAAACACTGTTTTAAAACATCTTGTATTTTAATTTTTTTTAAATAATTTGTTATAACAAAATTTTCTTATTCATCCTTATTTAGATCCTTTTCTACTTCCGTACGATTTCACTTCGATTGAAGAACAATCTTTTCAATCTTTCCAAAACGATTGGATTAGCTTTGATAACGAAGACTTCATTGAATATAGTAAAGATCGTATTCGCAAGTAACAGTAAAAGTCTTTTTTGTAAAGCTTTGTTTTCGTTTATTCTTATTTTTTTGTGTTACCATAATCACAGCTTATTTTTGTGTTTATTTATACATATTTTTTCTAGTTAAAACAACCAAAAAGATCTGGTACAATCTGCTTTTTAGATTTTTTTAAATAAAAAGCAGGTTATTTTTAAAAGACCCCGTCATGGCACTTTTTTTTATTACTTTTTTTTTAAACTAATGATTTGTATTAAAATAAATTTTCTTTTAAGGTATGCCAGAGTTACCTGCAAGAAACCCACAAAAATCCAATTCTTTATTACCACCCGCTCCTCCAGAAGATCGATATTTACCATTAAAAGATTTAGATAACGCATTGAAAAATCAAGCGACCATTGATTGGAATTCCGGAAGTTCTAATGGTTCCGGTTATAATTCATCGACTCCATCAGGTTCCGTTTACAGCTCATCATCCCCTCAATCAATGTACGGATCTCCTAGTCAAAGTAAGTTGGTTCATTAATTTAATTTTTTAAATCTTCTAATATTTGTTTCTAATAGGTCAATTTTCAAACATGTTCCCTCAAGAACAACCGCAAGCTCCAATATCAAATCCATTCAACACAAACAGTCAAAAAGGGGGAAATGTTTGGGGATCATCTAATGGATTTACAAACGGAACGAATGCTAATCCATTTCGTGGGACACCAACGGTGGATCCTTTTTTAGATCCATTTAAGGGAAATGGATTTAGTCAAGGTTTTCAAGCATTTTCTGCTCCGTTTAATGGACAAGCTTGGACACCAAATCCATTTAAAGTAATTTATTATTATTTTTAATACATTAAAACCTCGATATAGCGGATTATAATATTATCTATTTAATACATCAGTATATTTAAATATAAATGTTAGTGCTCATAGATCCAAATCGGGGTATTCCCCGAGTTGCCTACAGCATGTAAAGGTGGTCCATTTAGTACTTTTCTTTAATCATGTTATTTGGACAGTGACAGATTTTTCCCGCTGGAAATCTTGACAGAAAGTTTGCTTGAACAACGTTGAAAAATATTGCAATCTTATTTCCAAAGCCAACCCAACCCTCTGGATTCTGGATTCGCGGGAAGGCAAGCTGCACCGCCCGCAGTACTTTGACATCAGCAGATCCCTTGTACTTACTTCCCTCTTATGGTCAGCGTTCCCTTCCAGCCATATTACCTTGGAGGCAAAGGCTAAAATTTGTCCTGGTTGTGCTGCCTTGATTCATGCGAATCTGGATATCTCCAAAAATGGATAACCTCAATGGCCAACTCAACCCAAACAGTGTGTTTATTGAAAAAAAGTTTTGGCCGAAATGAGGTACCCACCGCGCCTACTGTACGCAAGTTTGTGCAAAAAGTGTAAGATCTCAACATTTCACGCACCAGTCCGAATTTTGCACAAAGACCTCGCATTATTCGCTTACAAGGTCCAATTGACGCAATAATTAAAGGCACAAGACCATCCGTTTCGTTATCGCTTCTCATTGTCTGTTTGGGCCTTAGAGCAGCTCGAAATGGAAAACGATTTTTGCACGAAAAATCATCTTTTCTGACGAAGCGCATTTTCATCTCGGTGGTTATGTTAACAAGCAAAACTGCTCTCGCGTGATCGTCGAGAGGCCAATGCATTTTCAGAGAGTGACAGTTTGGTGCGGATTTTGGAGCGATGGCATCAAATGCTGCTGGAAACGCCATTTTGCCATGATAAACGATTTTTTTGTGGCCGCAAATTGACAACATGGACTTGGGGTATCTTTGGTTTCAACAGGATTGGGCGCCATGCCACACAGCCCATGCCACAATCGATCTTTTGCGCGCCAAGTTCGGTAATCGTGTTATCAGCCGTCTCAGCAATATCAATTGGCCACCTCGGAGCTGCGATTTGATACCGTTAGACTCTTTTTTGTGGGGTGCCGATGTTATGCGAACAATTCATTAACGATTCAGGCCCTGAAGATGAATATCGAGCAAGCCATTCGTGAGAGATAGCCAGAAACCGTCACCAAGGTCTTGGAAAACTGGGTTAACAGGATGCGCTACTGCGAAGTCAGCTGAGGCAACCACATGAATGAAATCATGTTCCATAAATAATGGAAATGTTTGGTCTTTCGAATAAACCAATAATATACCGAAAAAAATTGATTTTTGTTCATTTTTTTTTTAATTTTCAAAAAGAAATCACTTTATGGACCATCCTATATTTTAAGAGACGGCTCCTCAGCACAAAACAATGGGCTTGTGAAGTCAGATTGTGTCTTGGGTTGGTTTAACTTCGGTTTGACTAGATTTTAGTTTTTCTTAAGTTAGTGTGGCTTGGCTTGGTTTAGGTTGAGTTGGTTTGTCAACTAGATGTAAACCGTCCAGCGTACTTCCAGATATTCTCTTGCAGTACAAAATTTGGCGAGATCTCAAGTGTTACGGCCATCAAAACTTTGTCAAAACGACCTTTGACCAAGCTTACCTTGCTTGAAACGGATGGCAGAAATAATCTTGGCCGACTTCGAACACCAAGACCGACCACACTGATTTTAAAAGACTAAATACTGCTGGTACAAGATTATAATGTCGGCAGGAGAGTAGATACTGTTAATGGACGATTACATACTACTGGCAGACGACTAAATACTGTACGAGTTTATATGACCATTTGAAAAATATCTGACATAGTGATCGTTACACACATTAGCAGACACGAATCTATGATTTACCTTCCTTAACATCTGATGCGTCTTTAAAATGCCATTAACTTGAGAGCTGCAAGGGAACAGTAAAATTATGAGCGATATGATAAAACAATAAACGCCTTTAAAGTAACTTACAACTAATAAAAGAACTTAGGTTAGGTTGGGTTGGTTTATCTTGGTTTGGTTTGACTTGGCAGAGTAGGTTTTTCGCTTCTCTTAGATTAGTTTGGCTTGGGTTGATTGGTTTATCCACTAGATGTAAACCGGCCAGCGTACTTATAGATATTTCAGATATTTGCAGTTCAAAATTTGGCGAGATCTCGAGTGTCACGACAATCAGAACTTTGTGAAACCAAGTGGAAGCAAGCTTACCTTGCTTGAAACGGATAGGAGAAATAATCTCGGCCGTCTTCGAAGACGTCGGTCGCCCAAATTATCACAAACACCAAGACCACACTGCTTACAAGACTAAATACCGCTGGTAGAAGATTATAGTGTCGGCAGGACACTAGATACTGTTAATGGACGACTACTTACTATTGGCAGAAGACTAAATACTGTTGGTAAAAAAAATATAGTGTCGGCAGGAGGCTAGATACTGCTAATGGACGAACAGCATTCAATTGACAAAGAACTTGATACTGTTGACAAAACGATAAATACTATTTTCAGAAGCCCTGAACCATGGCTGTCTCTACTTCAAAAATATATAGCCAGTATAAAGCTACACATTTTTGATTCCTAGCACTGTCACTAGAACTAAGACTGGACCTAGAATTATAACATTCTGGTGTACCTAGTCATCTTAACAGACGCACAGCTAAACTCGATCAAAGTTTTTTTATATAACGGACTTTTGACTATAACGGACACTCCATATCTCTTCCCCGAGTCACAGTTTGGTGGCATCATTTTTTCATTTTTTTTTTTGAAAATGCTGCTGGAAACGCCATTTTGGTCAACGGCGAGCGCTTGATAAACGATTTTTTGTGGCCGGAAATTTGAAGACATGGACTTTAGACGATCTTTGGTTTCAATAGGATTGGGTTGGGTTGGGTTGGGTTGGGTTGCATCTTTTGCGCGCCAAGTTCGATAATCGTGTTATCAGCCGTCTCAGCGGTGTCAATCTGCCACCTCGAAGCTGCGATTTGATACCGTTAAACTTTTTTTGTGGGGTGCCGATGTTATGCGAACAATTCATTAACGATTCAGGCCCTGAAGGTGAATATCGAGCAAGCCATTCGTGAGAGATAGCCAGAAACCGTCACCAAGGTGTTAGAAAACTGGGTTAACAGGATGCGCTACTACGAAGCCAGCCGAGGCAACCACATGAATATAATCATGTTCCATAAATAATGGGAATTTTGCTCTTTCGAATAAATCAATTGTTGTATATTTTTATTGAACTAGCACTAGACCTAGAACCAGAAACATTCGGGTTTAGTCATCTTAGGTTGGTTTGTGAAGTCAGATTGTACTTGGTACAAGATTATAGTGTTGGCAGAACACTAGATACTGTTAATGGCCGACTACATACTATTGGCAGAAGGCTAAATACGGTTGGCAAAAGGTTAGATGCTCTTTCTAAGAGACTACATACTGCTGGCTAAAGACTATAGTGTCGGCACTGCTAATGGACGACTGCATACAATTGGCAAAGAACTAGATACTGTTGACAAAACGATAAATATTACAGGGTGCGGCAACATAACTTCCTTTTTTCAAAACTTAATAAAACCTATTGTATGAATCAGAAATTTTGTATTTGTTTTTTATAATGTAGGCACATACATAAAGGCGTCATATATACATAGATAACTACATACATAAATTCTGGCGTTTGCCATGACTCTTGCCACAGTATAGCAGGGGTTATGTTGGCAATTTCTTCCTGGATGTTGATCTTCAAATCTTGTAGGGTCCTTGGACGGTTCACCTAATCACGGGAATTCAAAAAAACCCGTAGAAAAAAATCACAAGGGGCTAAATCGGGAGACTGGGCCTCACACTCGTTCCTCCGACAATTGAAGTCACGTTCAGAAAGTTCCTGCACAATCGCCATCTTGTAAGGATGGCAATGAAGATCATCATGTAAAATTCTCCTCACAGAACAATCGAAAATTCGAAGGGCAGACGTGTGTTTGAACGCCGTGGCAATCGCAACGCTGAAGCTCTCACTGCCTCAATGTTCTTAAGTGTTCTTATGGGCCGAGGGACTCCAGTTCTTCGTCTTGTCGCACTTGCAGTTTGTCTGAATGTAGTGACCCCCGTAACAATTTATTTCCGATCCGGAACAGGGACTAACTAGTATGGCAAATAACAAGACCACACTGCTTGCAAAACTGGTAGGAGACTTTAGCCAGTGTAAATTTAGACATTTTCGCTTCCTAGCACTGTCACTAGAACTAACAGTAGATTTTGGTTCTAATGGTAGTGTTTGTTCTAATTTTAGTTGTTATTCAGTGTCATATTGTTGTATTTTCATTCAACTAAAACTAGAACTAACACTGAACCTAGAATTAGAAACATTCTGGAGTAGCCATCTTAAGAGACGTATAGCTAAACTTGATCAAAGTTTTTTTTATATAACGGACACTCCATATCTCTTCCCCGTATTAATTCGTTATATCGAGGTTTAATTATAATTTAATTAATTTAATAGCTAATTTAATAATTAATTTTTTATTTAGGTTGCTACAAATGGGCATTCGAATAATCCATTTTTATGAGTACTTGAATGATGATAGCAAAAGAAAAAAAAATGACCGAAAGAAGCCTAAAAAAATAATAACTTGGAATAAAAGGGGTGAAAATGTTTATTTTTTAACGTTTTCTTTTTTTTATATAAGTTTTATGCTTCTCAATACGTAATTAATAATACGAATTGGTAATCTCCTTCTATTTATTAAAAGAAAAAAAAACACTTTAATAATTAATAATAATTATTATTATTAAAAATATATTAAATTTTTTTTGTTATATAATATCACGTAAACGAAGTGATCGTATATTTTTCGTTAGCGCTTAGGGTATATAAGTAGCTTTAGGAATTTAGCTTTTATTAGTAACGTTTCCAAATACGCTTTCTCTCTTTTATTAATAATTATTACTATTACCTACCAACTACGTATAAAAATGCCTTTATGATCAAATTACAAAACGTTTTATTTAACGTTAATAATCAAAATTAACGAGGCCCTAAGCAAAAATTTAAAAAAAGAATGTATTTTTAAAGCTGTTGAGACACGCTTAAGATTAAAGTTCTTGGTAAGAACGTGGTGGCCTTCGCAAGACCTCGTGCACACACACACTGTAAAATATACTGTGATAAAAAAATTGTTATAAAACGCGTTTTGTGTAAATCTGGGATTTAAAAAATTTACAATGATGATCCGAATTGAATGTAATAAATATATATTTGTACGTAATATTTCTTTGTATCTTCGCCTTGGATTTTCAAAGCTTTCGGAATTGGAAGATTAAAAAATTAAAAGTGTCTCGTCCGTCCCCCCCTAAGAAACAAAAACCTCAATGACTCGTAGTTTATTTATTCTACCTTTTAAAATAATTATAAATGATTAAACTGCATATTATGTATATATCAGGTTGTGTAAATAAATGACACCAAATATTATTCAAATAAGATTCTTTTTATTTTATTCTCCTTAATTCCCGTTTTACAAAAACTTTAAATTAAGCAATTATTTATTTTTATAGCTTAATTGGGAAATTTTAATCGACAAAATCAATATATTTGAGGTGTAAATATACGTAAGTGTCGGGTTAACTATTGATGTTGGGTTTTTCTAAATGACCCTCCCCTATAATAGCACTAATTGAAAAAGAGTATAAATAAATACCGAATTTATGAGTGTTTAAAAACATTCGAATAAATGATTGTTATATACATTAGCAGATATGAACCATAACCGCCTGGTATTCTTCATAAACGACACTGACTAAGGTTAATAAATCGATTACCAATACTGTAATACGTTATGCGTGTTCTTGTGCAAATGTTGAAAAAACCATAATCATAGCACCCTCTAGGTCAGCGATGCAGACTTATTAAGACTAGGGGCCACTCGGGCAAATCATGAACTGATGGGGGGCCGCCAGAAGTATAGGTAATTAAAGATAATAAAGAATTGATAATAATGTATTAAAATTGAAAAAGAATTTATTAATTTGAAGCGTGGCACTGCATAGTGCTTACAATCTTTTTTATATTTGGCTCAAATTTACTTGTAGCAACACGTAAAACTGCTTCCAAACTATCATTTGCAAGGCGGTTTCGATTTTTTGTTTTATTATTATTTAGTATTGAAAAAGTTTGTTCACATATATAGGTAGAACCAAATAAGCTGGCACATTTCAGAGCGTTTATGCGCAACTCTTTGTACATATTTTTATCAATGCAGCGGTAAAAGTTCTGCAAGTCTCCTTCGTTGAATTTGTTGCGTAAATCTTGGTCGTTTTGAATGTCGATAATTTCTAACTGCATTGACTCTGGCGCATTTTCAACTGAAATCGTGAAAGGATTGCTGAATATGTCCAACAGAGGTTTCACTTTTTTAAACTCCGAAAATCTGTCTTGAAAAGATTGAATCAAAATATCTAGCTTTTCTACATAACTGAAATTAATCGCAGTTTTGTTGAATTTTTTAGCCATTTTCTTATAATTCGGAAAATGATTGTAATTTCCAGAATTCAATTGCGATCTGAAAAGTGTCAGCTTGCTTTGAAAGGATGATACATGAGCGTAGAGCTGGGATATCAGTTGATTTTTGCCTTGAAGCCGTGTGTTCAAGACATTCAAATGATTTGTAATGTCAACTAAAAAAGCCAAATCACACAACCAATCAGGATTGTTAAGTTCCGGGACATCCTTTTGCTTTTCCGCCAGAAATATTCCAATTTCTTCTATTAAATTTAGAAATCGTTCCAGTGTCAATCCACGACTTAGCCACCTTACTTCTGTATAATACAGTAAATCTCCATATTCGCTTTCGATGTCATCAAGGAATTGTTTGAATTGCCTGTGATTGAGTCCTCGTGATTTTATGAAATTTACAGTCGAAACTACCACTTTCATGACATTTTGAAATTCAATTTTTTTAGAACAGAGGGCTTCTTGGTGTATAATGCAGTGAAACTGCATGAGATCTTCAGCGTTTATGTTTTTTTCTTGCAGATGCTTTTTCAGCAAAGTAACTAGCCCGGAATTGACACCAATCATCGAAGGAGCACCGTCAGTCGCAACTCCCGATAATTTTGATAAGTCCAAATCAGTTTTTGAACACTCATCCAAAAGTACATTGAGTATATCAACTCCTTTGGTTTGACCTTTCAATGAACACATTCCTAATAACTCTTCTAAGACTTCAAAATCTTGAGTAACACCTCGTATGAATATGAGAAGTTGAGCTGTGGAACTAATATCAGTGGATTCGTCGAGTGCTAATGAAAAAAATTCAATGATCTTAGTTTTTTCAGTTAATTGTTCCGCAATATTACCTGACAAAGACATAATTCGTCTTTGGATAGTCATACGATTCAGTTGAATTTTCTCAAACTTTTTTGCTGCTTCTGGACACATTTTCTTAGCGGCAATTTCTATGCATTCTTTTACAAAATCCCCATCATTGAAGGGGCGACTTCGCTTTGCTATCATTCGAGAAATTTCATAACTAACTTCTGTAGCTGTTTCTGAATCTTGAATGGGTTTTATAAACATAGCTTGCTGACCAATAAGCTCCCGTCTCAGTTTTATGGACGTCGCTCACAATATCAAAAGAAACAAAGTACTTTAATATTTATTATTTTTCGAATGTACGAGAATATTATTTTTGCTGTCGGCGGGCCACCAGTATTCGACCGGCGGGCCGCGGTCTATGCATCTCTGCTCTAGGTAGACCTCACAAAAATATAATGCCCTTGAAGGTGTTCTATAAATCCAGAATATAATTTAGCTACACGAACCACAATATTCATTTCAAGTTGGCAGTTATGATTTTGTTGATATCAACTCAACAATTCTGCTGAGGTTTTCTCAAACTATGTTGTAAAATTGCACAGTCACGAGAATTTTATTCTGCTGGGACGTCTTTTTCCTTTGACTTTCCCTTGCATTTACATTTACAATAGTGATGGAACGGATAGTGATTTTGCGAAAAGCCGGATATCGGATATTCGGCCGGATATCCGATTATCCAACATATCTATTCGGCCATTATGGTTATAATTTCTGGTGTATTTTTGAACTGACATTGCCACATTATTGCGATATTTGAATAAAAATGAAATTAATAAGAAAGCTGATAAGATATGTCAACTTTTCTGATAATGATTTAACTAACGAAGCAACTCTAAAAAGAGGATACTTTTATTAACAATTGGTGATATTTCCACAAGGGTCCTTCAAGAAATTAATATTATAGCGAATTTTGAAAGTTATCAATGAAAATTGCAACATCGAAAATTTTATCAAAACTTCAAATATCCGGCCAAAGCCGGATATTTGGTAACTATCCGGTATCCGGCTGGATAGTTTCCGGATATTCGTTCCACCACTAGTATACATGATTTCCGATTTCTTATTTATTCTTTGTAGCAGTTCCCTGTTCGGCATGTGCTCTGTCCAGGGGCGCGCCGTGCAGGGGGTACAAGGGGTGCATCGCACCCAGGCGCGGTCGTCCTAGGGGCGCATGTAACGCAATAAAATTGCGCTTTTATATGCAAAGGCGAACTACTGAAATATCAAACATTGGCACAAATATAGCAGAGGAAGAAGAATCCGACGTGAAAATTTCAAACGAACCTGAAAATGTCTTACATTATATTTTTACTAATGATTTATTCAATATGCTTCCTAATATTACTATAGCACTTAGAATATACCTAACATTACCTGTTAGTGTTGCATCAGGAGAGAGATCATTTTCAAAACTTAAAATAATAAAAACCTATTTAAGAGCAAATATGAGTCCAGAGAGACTTAACAATTTGTCTTTAATAAGTAATAATAATAATAACAAACACTAGAAACTTTCGGGTTTTGCCGTGCGTCTTTTAATAAAAGGTTTGACGTTTCGGATGCCATGTTGTAACCTTCTTCAGAAACAGGGTTCGAAGTGAAAGCCTTAGTACTTATATTATTAACCTTTATGGGGAGGATATCAACAAACAAATCAAGGATTTGGATAACTCACGAATTAGACAACGCAAGCTGTTGAGCAGTTTGGCCTTTCTACGAAGATGCAGAGAGAAGAAANCGTCATGGTCTGCTGTACACGTAGCAGACGTGTACATCCACCATGTGTAATCGCACCCCATACCATAATACTCGGTTGGCGGTGGATAGGGCGTTCTTGCACACATTGCTCGAGTAGACGCTCACCACGTCTCCGACGAACCAAAATTCGCACGTCACCGGTGCTTAATTCGAATCTTGATTCGTCGGAAAACAAAATGTCCCTCCACTTGGCAACCCACCAATGTCTAGCGTCGACCCACTCGTGACGTATACGGCGATACTCGGGTGTTAGTGGAATCCGTTGTAACGCATGACGCGCGCGCAAACCACTGTCTACCAAACGCCGCCATACAGTTAGCGTAGTGAGTGCACCTTCCCTGGCCTTCCCTTCCCGTTGGCCAAACAGCTCAAACTTGCCTTGAGGAGGACGTACGCGACGCTAAAGGGCTGAGCACAATGGCGCAAACCATACGTGCTGTGGTCGCGTGGGGTCGTTCTGGTTACGGCTGAAGGTGCGTATGTCCTAGCTCAGACCATTCTCGCCATGTCCGTTGCACTGCCGATAACGACTGCTCGACACGACGCGCAATTTCATGAAACGATACAACCTCCAATGTGCATACTCACAACCATTCCTCGCTCAAACTCGATTAAGTAACGCGATCGCCCAATGTAAGGGCACAGAGTACGACAATAAACTGGTCCATCACACCACACTAAAAAAAATCGGTATCTCCAACCCACTTCGGTTTCCATAGCGACGGAATGTTCCACGTAGAAGGGCGGCTCAGTCAACAATGCCACGGCAGAAAAACTCAAAACTTGGTGAATGAACTCGTCTACAATCAACTTTTATGCTCCGCAAATATTATGGATTTATCTTCACGCGTTCAGATTATATAGGGTGTGCTCGTGAATTATTTCCAACAGTGTATAAAGGAGAGTCGCATTGATATTTTCTTTGCTGATTATCATCTGTTTTGTTTTTTGGACATTATTCTCAAAAACTAAAAGTTATTTTTCAAAACGGGTTGGTTCATTGGAAAGAGCCCCATATTAAAGAGGGCCAATTAAGCCCATATTGCTGTTTGTAGTATGTGATTCCTATATGCTATCAGCCATCACCATAGTATCATCTTCATTTACTCTGTCAAGTGTTTCATTAAAGATTCTTTCTGAGTACGTATTGAATATTAATGGGGGAGAATACCGCCTTGTCTAACTCCACGCCATATCATCACTTTCTCTGTTTGTTCTCCATTACCTCTCATGCACACAGTCTGGTTCCAGTAGAGGTTTGAACTTGGCCTTGCATTAAGCTGTATTTGTTGCGTACAATAAGGGACACGTTTGACTATAGAGAAATAACATCCGTCTCATTAACACATTCGCAGACAAGCACATATTTCAAAATTTGTTATATCATGCTGTCTGTATTAAGAAATGTAAAAAATAAATATATTAGTTATATGACTGAATAGATGTGTCAAAAATGTTTAGTCTATAGAAAATCTTTGTGAACAGCGTAACATATATCCACAAAATTGTGTGCAATAAGCAAATATAAGCAAATTCCAACACATTTGACACTTGATCATATGATGTCATTTCCAAAGCTGAATTTTCCGATCTTATACAAACTGAAATATCCCTTGTCACAGTACTTTTTGCAGGAAAGTTTCACACTTGATCAGGTAATGAATGATACAACGCCTCGGCAGCAAGCGGTCTCGACTAAATAAAGTAAAATGCATAACAAAGACTGCATGATGTTGACCAATGAGGTCACTTACGGTCGAGGCCCTACAATTAATACCTCAACACAATGCTGATGTCAAACAATACAACGCTTCGACTAAATCAATGAAGCCAAGGTGTCTTACGGATGAGCTAATATCACATCAACTTAATTTTAGATTGGTGTCAAATTACCACTTCAGTCGTAAAGAGCCACTACTTAATACACTGAATGAAATGTATGATGTCACTTTATTAGACCGAGGTGGCTTGCGGCCGAGGCACTACAGTTAATATCATATCAACATAGGACTGTTGTCATACAAAGTATCGCCTCGGCCGTAAGCGGACTTGGCTAAATCAACTGAAATGCACGATTTCACCGTATTAAGCCGAGCTTGCTTGCACTCGAGGCACTACAATTAATATTATATCAACACAAGGCTGATGTCAAACAACGTAGCGCCTCGGCCACAAACGACTTTAGTTATGTAAGCGATCATAGGGTTTGGATTCTATAACGTAAATTAAACGATTTATTGAATAATCTTTTACTATTATATTTTGCCAAATAAAATGGTATTAACTTTTTATACATCACTAGTCGATGTAAGAACGCCTCGATCGCAAGCGATCCCGATTAAATAAAGTGAAATGCATAACATAAGACTGAGAAATTATTTGCCAGGAAATTATTTTTACGAAATAAATAATAATCAGAAAAGTAACTTTAAAAAATTGTGGTATATGGCATCCACGAATTAGATGCGAATTGGACACTTCCTTCGCATATTACTATTATTACAGATATTAGGTAATCATGATCAAAACCATTGAATTTTCTCATTAAATCTTCTTTCACCTATATTTTAGGTTAGCAACATGATATCGAGGGGCAGCTTTCACTAGCTTGTTAAGGCTTCATTTTGCTATTTTTTCACGAAAAAAAAGTAGTACCAATACATTTAACTTTTCTAAGAAAACACAATTTCTATTGTAATATCGAAAAATACCCTCTAGTGGCGATGCACTAACTTACAATCACTACAAACAAGGTAGTATTTGTAGTACAAAAAAAGCTCTTTTCCACGTTACCAAGCTTATTAAATTACGTTCACCCATTTTGAAAATATTGGCATTTGTTTACAAACATTTTTATACACCACCCACTTTATTTTTAAAGATAGGGCAAAAAGTGTTTTAACAAACAAAACTATAATTTATCCAAACTTTTTTGTTATGTTAATGCAACGGAATTCTGAGAAAAACCACATTTTTTAATTCAAGATGGCGGTTGCGCCGCCTAGTGATTATCTTAGAAACTTGAAAATAATATCCAGGATTTTCTCTTAGCCACATTAGTCGTTAAATTTTTTACCGCAAATCTCTACAAGGAGTAGTTTCCGCGATACAGTACTTTGCACGCTTATTTGGCCACTCTATACAAGTTAGTAATTCTAAGTATTGATGAAGAGGTACGCCAGTAAGAAAACGATTGGGAGTGTTATAAATAGATGTTGAATATTAAAAAGTATTTGAATGGTTATGATCTTTGAACACTCATTCCATAAATATTGCAGAAATTTATTTTATTAAACATACATTATTTTATATTAACTACAAATTTATAGCTTCAAACGTCGAATATCTTCGATTTTAAAATCACTTCTAAAAAATGAAATCCGTAATATTTAAAAATTCTTAATTTATTATTATTACCTTAATGCCATAACTGATCTCAATTCAGATGGAGTTAATCTCCAAGTCAATGCACCATCATGATCGCCCCAATAATCGGAAATTTCCGAAACTTTCTCTAAATTTAAAACGGTAGCTATTTGGGTTAAACGAGCAAATTTATCTCGAACGGACCAGGAAGTTGACGCTGTTAAATATCCTGATAAAGATCGAACTTCTTTATCTAAAACTAATCCACCCAACTAAAAAAGTTATAAGATAAAAAATTAAGAGTCAAAAAAAAATTAATAATCTCACTCTATTAAAGGATGATTTTAAAATAACTTTTTCAAATCGAAGAGTAATCTCAGTTGTAACCACGGTAATTAAACTGTCGTAATTAGATGGGGTTAAAACTTCCTTGAAAGGTAATAATAAAGTTTCTAAATTCATTATAAGAGTTTGAATAAAGGTCTCGCCTGCTTCATAAGCAGATAATTCTTCCTAAATTAATAAATAACCAATACAAAATAAATTTTTAATTATATTTTTTCACCTCAGATAATTGATGATTAACATTAATAAACCCATCAATCCAAGAAGTAACTCTCGGTTTAATCGCACTCGACCTCAACTGTTGCAATCCATAATCAATAACTTCTTTTAAAGCTGTCGTAACAGAAGACAATCCAGATAAACAACTTTCCAATTTTCCTCTATCATTCTCTTTCATGCTTGGCATCGCTTGAACAATTTCTAATAAAACTCGATCACATAAAGTATCGACGTATTCGTTACTTGTATCCGCATTATTTAAAGCAACCTAAATATTAATTGATAAACTTAAAATGAATGAGACTAAAAGTGATTAAATTTACAATAAATGCGGTTCTTGCCACTTCTGTGTCGCCGGGTTGAAGTCTTCCTTGTTGAATGGAAGTTTGAAGGACGTTGTAAGCTTGCGTTAAATCAAGATAACCGGAAGGATAGCCTTGTTTGAGTTTCGAACGAAGAATGCTGCAATAATCGCTTTCTAAAACACGACAAGCGTTATTTATTATTGCGCAAATTCCATCTAAACTTCCGGTTGATGTTGCTCTCCTAAATTTCAAGAAAATAAATTAATATGTATTTAGTATTATTTATACATATAAACGTATTTATTGAAGTGCATTATTATAGAGCTCATTTGCAATTGATTAAGCCAAATATGCCCAATAAAAACGTTAATTCCTGATTACAATAAATCCTGAGGTTGACATTTAATTCATTAATAGCTATGAATCATTGACTAAACAAATAATTTATAGGATAACAATTGGAGTGAATACAATTTTTATAGCTGGTAAAAGTTAGCCAAAAGATTAATAAATAATAACCTTCAATGAAAACCAACCCAACCCAACCCATAAAAATTAAGCAATTTTATGTGTCACATTAACATCAACAAAAACAAGTAACCAAAGGTAAGTAACGCATTGCTATTCTGTCTAAAAAGAACTCATAACTACAAGTCCATCAATCTTGTAATCTTTTAATTAACGTTTTTCAAACATATGCTTTGTTTTGGATCTTTTCTACTAATTTATCCTTAGAGTTGACTTGTGTAGCATACACTCTTCCTTTCATGTGGCCCTACACATAAAAATTAAGGGGCGTCAAATCAGGACTCCTTGCAGGCCATAGAATTGGTCCTCTTCTCCCAATCCAACGATTAGGAAACATTTCATTTAATGAATTTCGAATATTTTGGGAATAGTGCAGGGTATCCATCATGCTGGAAAACCATATTACATCTGTTTTCTAAAGGTGCATGATTAAGCAGGTCTATTAAATTGTTATGCAAAATTCAGTGTATGCTGCGCTAGTTTTACGATCCGGTAAAAAATAAGGTTAAATTTTCTTTGGTTGTTCATTTCCCCTGTTAGATGCAGATTTTCGTCAGTCTAATAATGTAAATTATGAAGATTTGTTATACATTTTCTATTTAAACGTGGATTCATCTGTCCACAAAATTCTTTTCAAGAAATATCCATCTTCAATGTCAGCATTTGAAAGGAAACGGCAAATTTGAATCCTTCGCTCCAAATCGCCTTCTTCAAGTGCTTGGACAGGAGTATACTTTGTTATACTTCAGGGTCCGTAACTTTGGTTTTGTTAGTTTTTACATAGAACCAAGTATTTCATCTAATCAAAAACGTTGAGATTAGCCGCGATTTTCCGGAGTGCAAAACCGAATAATTTTACTATATTATTTATTTTTCTTTTAAACGAACTCTCAATTTGTTTAAGAATCCGAGGATACGTCTGGGGTTAAAGTGAGAACGCGTAGACTACTTTTTGACAAAATACAGGATCAAGACTTGACAAATTTTGACGAAAAGTTGGCCTATTTGAATGTTGTGATGAACAAAAGAAACAAGTGATGCATTCATTCTCTTATTTAAAGACTCAATTTAATAAAAGGTGGATAGAGACTCAAAAAAAATCACACCTTTTTCTTCAAAAGAGTGATAACTGGCTACAAGGAACATTCGAAATAGCGACGTTGACGGCTAAACCTCATTCTTCTGGTCGTCCAACAAAGGCATTTGTAGAATCAAATTAGAAGAGTAAACGCAGAAAAACACAGAACGTTCGCAAAGTTGTAAAAAAAGATGCGTTAATGCATGCTGCTCAAACATCCCTTCAAAGTTCTGGAAAGAGAATTGCGTCCAATATTCTTAAAGACATATCTAATTCTCGCAAATTCAACATGTTTGCAGAAAAGTCTATGCTTGCTTCCACTCTTTAAAAAGACTTCGCTGCTCTCTTCCTCCTGTGGTGCGTCGTAATCTTTGTTACTCTCTTATATTTCCTCACTTCGACTATGCGGACGCGGTTTATACCGATCTCTCGGTGACTCTTCTGAGTAAATTGCAGCGGCTACAAAATAATTGTATCCGGTTCATATTTGACCTAAATAGATTTGAGCATGTAACGCCGTATCGCAATTACATTCAGATGTTAACCTGTGAGAGACGTAGATCCTTTCGTTTATTAACCATTTTATTTAAAATCCTTCATAACTGCACCCCAAAGTACTTATCAGATAGGTTCCAGCAATTATCAACTCATGAGCTTGCTACTCGTTCACGTTCTGATACTATTCTTACATTTCCCGTTCATAGCACTGAAATTTATCATAGATCATTTACAGTACAGTCGATTGCGCTGTGGAATGGACTGCCTTCTGAAATTCGTAATATTTCTAGAATTACTAATTTTAGACATGTTTTAAAGAGCCACTTGCTTGCCCTTCAACTGGCTGTTTCCTGATTCTTTGTTCTTTGTCTTTCTCTTTTTTTCCTCTCTTCAACTGCTCTCACTTGTTGGCAACTGATATCCGGCAGATTCTTTTAGTTTCTTTTAGTCGCTCTCTATCTCTCTTTTTGTGTCTTTTCTTTATTTTTCTCTTTGTTTTTCTTTTCTTGCTTAATCTTATTTGGTGATGTTAATAATATCTAATTGTCACTACTTGCCATATTCAGCAAATACTATTTTTATTTTTGTTTGTTCTGTTGGGTCATTTGGCAGAGATCGCTTGTGCGATAAAATGATCCATTTGCTGATACTGTTTAAGTTAAGTGTATCTTATGTAATTTTGTATTTTTGTCTGTGGCAATAAATGGTAAATAATAATAATAAATAATAATTCTCCGCAGACAGCAAAAGCATATCAAAAGGCATACAAAGCAAGCAAGCAGTGTGAAAAGCAGTCACAATTAGATCCGACAGCCGCTCTGTCAATGTTTGTCCAAGCCGACTTTCAAGGCGACAGCGACACTATGGAATAATGAGATAGCAACAAGAGGTTTTATCCGAACTACACCTTGTTGCAGAAAGAAAAAAAAATTACTTGCTATTCGGCGAAACATGCGCTGAAATTACCTTGCAAGATTTATTGGACCACACAGCTAAACGTTTTGCTATGTATTTAGAAGATGTACTTAAACAATTAATTCCAGAAGAGCGTCAATCATTAAGACTGATTTCAAAATGAGGATGTGATGGTTCAGTACAAACGCAATTCAAACAAAAAATTAAGGACGGCGATTGGAGTGACTGGAACATTTTCCAAAGTTGCTTTGTTCCGCTACGGTTAGTTTGTGAGTTAAACAAAAAAGTAGTTCGGCAAAATCACAATCTTGAACTCAGATTCTTTGCTCAGTAATATGAGGACTTAAGGAAAAAATTTACTTCGTTTCTTTCTGAACTTATCAATATACTTCTGCAAGGGCAGCCAAACCAAATTCGGTTCTTTCATCCGAAAACCACAAAGAGTCCTCTTCATATATCCTCCTCATCTGGTACCAATGATACGTTTAACTTTCAGGAAGGTTTCCTGTAAAGTCAGAACACAAGGAGATCTATCAAGAACATTTGAAAACCACGAAGGTCTACAATAAGGAGATGGGCTGTCAAGTCTGCTTTTTAACATTGCCCTGGAGACAGAAAAGATGTGCTTAACCCCTTACCGCATAGTGTGCCATATATGGGACGCTTTATGTTTGTGTGTGATTTTTATGTGTAAATGTATTTCTTACTGTTAATATAGTCATATTTGGGGTAATCACTTCCAAGTGAGTTTTTGTAAAAACTGAATGTTTAGTTCATTGTAAATAGTGAAAGAAAGTAATTCATCGCGTTGTAATAAATATATAGATGAAAGGTAAGTTATCTATTGAATGAATTGGTACAAATTGAATTTGAGTGGAGATTAAAAACGATCTGTCTGATAATGATTCTCCTAAAAATTTCAACTCTAAGGTTCATGTGCTCACAAGTCTTGAAGAACCTTAAAGATTTTGAATAAAAACAATGGGACAGTGAAAACGATTTGCCCATAATAAATATACTGGTTCATAGAAGTAATACCAGACGAGATAGAAAAAATATGCAATGGTATGAAGCCTTTTTGCATGTACCTCACCTTTTTGGATGTACCTCAAGATTTACCGGAAGAAATAATAAACATGGAATGACTTCTTCAAATACCTCTTAAAAACGGTATTTAGAAACAATTTAAGTTCAGTGTAGACCGGAGAAACCAGCAAATATGACAACGGAAGAAATTCGTGGTTTCTATTTATATGTGTATTATACAGTTGCCTTCTACAAGAAGCTATTGGAAATGTATTCCTGCAATGTGTGGCACTAAGTCTTGGAACAGATTTGAAGAAATCAAAGAATTGCATCATTTCAATAACAATCAGATCTCGGAATGAGCAGCAATGTTGTCGTAAATCTAGCGGTAACGATACTTAGAAACCAGAATTACAAGATATATTTCGACAACTGGTTTACAAATATAGACCTACTCACATTTTAAAACAAGGTATTTTACCTCTTGGTACTGTTAGAAGAAATCTAGTACCAAACGATAATCTGCCTCCAGATAACGGCCTAAAGAAAAGCGGAAAGGGTACCATAATTGACAAAGTTGCAAATGTAGGTGGTGTAGACATATCACTTGTTGCTCGGTATGATAATATGGTAGTCACAACCATATCAACCTATGTCGGAAGTCAAAATGTGTCTGAGACTAAAGATTTTGTTGGAAACAAAGAAATTATATAAATATAACACGCCCGAGTAGTGTACGCATTTACAACTCCTACATGGGAGGAGTTGATCTCTTGGACTCAATATTAGAATTTTCTTAGATATTTCATTTCTTAGATCGAATGTGTGTAAATGCTTAGCTTTTCTGGAGATTTGCGGATTCAGAAATGTATTTGCCACTTTCTGAATTTAAACTAGGAATAGCTAACAAAATCAAATACAATTCCAAAAAAGCGCGACAGACCAAGCAATCATTACAGCCTAAACTGGACCTAAAAAATAAAAAATACCCGTTCCCAGAATTTCTGTCCAAGACGTTCGCTAAGACAATCTAAATCACCTACCAAAATGGACTTCCGATTAACGTCAACAGTGTAAATATCAGAATGTAGAGGAAAATTTTTTGTAATGTGCACAAAATGTAACTTCACCTTTGTTTCAATAAAGATCGAAACTGTTCTTTTAATTTCCATGTAGAATAAATGGATTTCTAAAATATTACATTTCTTTTAGAACAATTAAAACCAAATATTGTGGTAAATATCTTCTTGTTAGTTTTTGCTTATATGTACTTCAAATCACCCCATATGTGCCATATATGCATATATGCTTATATTAAGCATAAAGCTTTAAAAAGAAAACAACTGTATACATATTTTCAATGGTTTTGTGAGCTTATGAGTAGCTTAGTACTATATATAATAGATTTATTTTTAATTAAACCTAAAAAATCATGCAGTAAGAGGTTAAGAAAAATTTTACAAAGACATACCAGTAGATTCGGAAGTTGGAGATGACACGAATTCTGTCATTGAGGAAATAAAAGAAAACAAACCAAGCCAACAAATGCTTCCATGGGCTTAAAACGCTTCACAACTGAGCTACGAGGAAAAATTTAATTAGTCCTATACAAGACAATATAGCCAAGAAGCCTACAAAGACCAAGAGCCATTAGGGAGATTCAAGAGAAAAGTGTTTAGAAGAATATATGGCGTTGTTAATGACAGCTATGTCTGGTGACTTGGAACAGAATGGAGATAAAAAGTACTACAAGAATTATCTTTGATCGCCGTGGACTTATGGGTAAAAGATCGGTCGAGAGGTCGAAGAGACGATTTGTGAAAGATGTGGAGGAGGACCTAAGAACTGTTAAGGCAGGCCAAAATTCACAACGAGCTGTAGAACCAAGCATGATGATGTAGATACGTCTTGTATTGGCTCAACTGGCCAAAGAACAAACCCGGCTGTGGACTACAAAAAAGCCACTTAAAACAGGTAACATGGAAGGACTATGCAGGACACAGGTGAAGAATATGATAACTCCATCGCAACAGAAAACCAAAGACGTTTTATACTTCAGGAATTTTCTTCTAAAGTCGTTGTAAGGTTTCCTGACCTCTTCAACATTGGACAAGCTGATGATCATACTTGTCGGCTGCGCAACGACGACCGCTGAACCTATTTTGCGTCGCCAGAGGCCGCCTAAGATACAACGTTTTCGGAAAGGTTCGCCTGATATTTACTGACATAAAGGAACAAGACCTTGGAGCAATACTAAGGTTCATCAACGACCTAGATTTGCCCTAAACCGATTTTCCATTCATTTGAGGTAGAAAAATAGCAGTAGCCATGTGTAACCATGGCAATGAATGGAAAATCATGAAACTTTAAGATAACTTTTCTCGAAAATTTTCTTATGTAACCAATATTAATATTAACTGTACTAGATTAGAACAAAGTCCTCTTTCATATTCCGTAATAGAAATGGGGCATTGCTATTTGAAAAAAATATCGATGACGTCATTACACGTTAAAAAATGGCGGCAAAACTGTTCTTAATTGTTTTAACGAATTTATCTGTTACTTTTGGGAAAACGCTGTAAAAAATTGAAATAATTCCTAAACTATTGAACTTTGTATAAGGCTTAATTAATTGCAAATGAGCTCTATAATAATGCATTTCAATAAATATGTTTATGTACCAATCACCCTGTATAATATTTATCTACCTTATACATTTTTTTATAATAAAAAACGTATCATCAACCATTGAAGAAACATATTGACCTTGATCAACTGAATCTAAGCTAACCGCTTTATTTATTGATTCCTCCATGAAATACTGTTCTAATCTTAAATAAAACCCAAGTAACTCATGTTTGCTTTGAGCTAATTGACTGTTTTTAACTAAACTTTCTAAAACATCAAATTGTTTAACGCGATCTTCAATTTCTGTAATTCCAACTTCAATATCATTCTAAACAAATATTTAATTAAATTCAATCATATTATTTTTTTAATTTATACCTACAGTAACTTTTCCTTTAATAAAATTAATATAAAGCTCAGCTCTTGAATGCATAATAGTGATTTCAGCGATTAAAATATCTAAATCTTTCGGGTCAATTTTTTCTAATTTACTAAAACTGGATGAACTACTCATCCTAGAAATCTCAGTAATTTGCGAAATTCTTTTATTGACATTACGATTTTTTAAAAATTCCCCCACAATTCTTTTTGTTTGTTTATCACATTCTTTTTGTAATATTTTAACTGCAGATAACAACTTTCCAGGTCCATAATAAGTCTCAATTAATGGTTGATGCACGTTAATCATCCTTGCTATTCCTTCATACAACAATGTTAAGGTGTCAGCATAAATAATATTGTAACGTTTATCAGCTATTGGAGTGTTTAAAGCTGTTGTTAAATTTTTTTGGGCTGTCTCTTCTAATTTACTACTCAAGTATTCGCAAAAATCCCTTATACCCTCGTCATGCATTCCAATAAGAGGGAAAATTTTAAAAAATCTTTCAATTGAATGCAAATCATTCGATTTAACTGCATCATCAAATTTATGTTTAATAATTGCTTGAAGTTGACTTGCTGCATCTTGAAGAGTACGAACAGATTTAAGAACACCCGATACTTTTTCTACATCTGATGCAGTTCGCTTTAAAAGAGATTGATCAATTGATAAAAATCGATGAATTAATGCAGCTCCTTTTTCGTAATCTTCATCTAAAATTGCTTTTTGTACACCATCAGAACACATTTCTAAATCAATTAGGTCACTAACACGTTTTTGTACTTCTTCAACTCTACTCTAACAATAAATGGATTAATTAATTAATTTTAATTCTTAATTCATGATTGAAAACCAACCTTAGCTCTATCTAAAACTTTAATTTTACCACTTATATTTTCGGAAGATTCCGAAATATGATTTATTGAATTTACCAACCCTTCAGCATCCTGTCTTATTAATTTTATTTGGGGTAACATTCGCGAAAGCCCTTTAACTTTACCATCAAGATAAGATTTTTGTTTGAGAAAGTTTTGAATTTCTTGTTGGAGGGCTACCTCTTCTATTTTAAGGTTCTCCAATTTTTTTTGAATTTGACTATGTTGATGATCATGTCCTTCTTTCGATGTCATGCTTATTTTTTGCTAAAACACTGAATATTCACTAAAAAGAAAGTTTAATTTTTTTTAGGTTATGTTAACGTCAAACGCAATCAAACGTCAACTAAACAATTAAGATAATACAGAAATCTGTAACTTTAATAAACTTAATTTTAAATTAAAACCACTATTATTATTAACTTTTTATTGGGGTTACTATTTACTAAATCCATTTTTTTAATCATCTTCGTCATCTCCTAAACTTCCAGTGGTAGAAGGATGTATAACTTCACTGTCATCATGCAAAATAGTAATGTTTCCTCTTGTTTTAGGTTTGATGGGTTTGATGAGTGATCTTTTTCGAACAGTTCTTGTTATTAACAAACTTGAATCATCACTATCATCTTTTACACAAATATCGGATAGCTTCTTTCGTTTCTTAACGTGCGTTTTCCTTTGTATTTCCTCATCAGTGTCTTGTAATTCACTTGGTTCTAAAACGACCATACAATCTGGGAATGTTTTTTAAAGAATTTGTTTATAAAGTCGTCGCCTTTTGGAAGCTGCCTGGATGATCGCTCTTTTTAGATTTCGTCTTAATTTGAAGTAGTTTTACACTGAAACACTGGATGGTTGTGATTGGGTTACAACCGATAGCTGAAAAAGGATCATCCAAAGTGAATCGAAAAGATGACTGACTATCTTCAATAATTACTTACCAGAATATCCGCTTGAACTTGGCGATGATATTAAAGGGTTAATAGACTCGACATCTTCTTGTGGCATCTCTTGAACTGATTTAAGTGTATTTTCAGGGGGAAGTAATTTTCTTGAACTTCTCATGTGGCTAAAATCAGCTTTTTGCCCAACAAGCATTTTAGTGACGTCCGATGTTGAAACGTTTGTTAACAAATTCGAACTATCCTTAGATTCATCAGCTAAACCAGGAAATAAAAGGAAAATGGGTTGAATCAGACCGTCTTCGTCGATTATTTGCAATTCTTCTTCGTCGCATTCGTCTTCTTGTTGAGACTTAAAATTAGGATTGTAGAAAGCCAAATCCACCCATTTAGAGTCTCTCGCCGCCAATGGGATAAAACCTTCTTCACTTTGGCTGCTGTAAACGTCCGGTTTTTGGTGGCTCCTTTTCCGGTGGATTTTCTTCTTGGCTCCATTGTACTTTTCTGCAGTTTGAGATTCCGCTGGATCAGATCTATCCATCAATATTCTTCTTATCTGTTCCACGCATTTCCTTGATGTTTGGTAACCCTGTTTTAATTTTTGGAAAAACTTGAATTTAGTCATGACATGTTCTATGATTTATGGCAACTTTGCTACCGCTTTAATTATTTTTTTTTGTATTTAATTATTATTTATTATTAGTTAAATCTTTGCTTTATTTTAGTTAAACAATAATAATTTAATTAAAATAAAATGGACAAAAATAATTATGGATAAATTTAATTTAAAATAAAATAGGCAACCAAATATACATCAATTAAAACGTCAACAACAAAGTCTTGAAGAACTGTTATTTGTGTTATTTCTTCCTCAAAGTTATCAGTTTTCTTAATAATGCCGTACGCTAATCAACCTTCTGTACACATAACTGATTTAACGGACGAAAACGTAAAGTTTTACATAGAAGACACCGAATTAAGGTAAGATTTAATCAAATATAACCTCACAAAATTAAACATAACCTAAATATTTAGCGTCGCGAATAGCATAAGAAGAGTTTTAATAGCTGAAACTCCTACTTTAGCTATTGATTGGGTAAAGTTAGAGGCGAATTCGACGGTTTTAAGTGACGAATTCCTGGCGCATCGAATTGGTTTAATTCCGTTGATATCCGACGACGTAGTTCAACGTTTACAATATCCGAGAGATTGTATTTGTACCGATTTTTGTCAAGAATGTAGTGTCGAGTTTACGCTGGATGTAAAATGTACTGATGACCAAACTAGGCATGTTACAACAGCTGATTTAAAATCAAGCGATTCGAGAGTTTTACCTGTTACTTCAAAGCATAGAGATGAAGATTCTGCTGAGTATGGTGATACTGATGAAATTTTACTTATTAAGTTGCGTAAGGGGCAAGAGCTGAAAATGAAAGCTTATGCTAAGAAAGGTAAATTTTTGTTTTGTAAAGAGAAGAAGTTTTTTTTATTTTTATCATTTAGGTTTTGGAAAAGAACATGCAAAATGGAATCCAACTGCTGGAGTTTGTTTCGAATATGATCCAGATAATGCAATGAAACATACTTTGTTTCCTAAACCAGATGAATGGCCCAAAAGCGAATATAGTGAATTGGATGAAGATCAATGTAAGAATTATTACGATTTTTTAATTAATATAATAATAATAATTTATTGTCTCCAGAAGATTACAATATTACAAAAAAGAACTACATTATCTCTAACTAATCTAAATCCTACCCCTTTTCCCAGCCTCTCAGTGTCTCCCTACATGTTTCACCTCTTTCAACTCACTACACTCCTACTTTGGTAGCCCCTCTATTACAATTTTATTATATTTTGGATTATACCTGCTTTCTCTTATCGCCGTCCTTCCCTCTTGCATTCCCACATCCCTGCTCTCCAGTTGTTTCCACATCTCAATCCTCTCTTTTCTTTCCCTGTTCACTTCTTCAGTTGAATATCCCACCCTTCTGTAGTATTCCTAACTTTTTCGCTACCCATAACGCCCCTTACTTGCCTCAATTTGTCTGTAGCACTCCCCCAAGATTTTACAATGTCCTCTACCTTCCACCCTCTCCTCAAAACGCACCGCTCGCTTACCCGTCTCCACCCTCACCTTATTTACCTTCATTTCTTCCCTGACTATACATACAGGTGTTTCTAAATTGATGCGAAACATTTCAAGGGGTGATTTTTCAACGAAAATTAATGTGGGTGTCTTTCATATAACTTTTGTTCAAAACCCCTTCTCCTCCAAGTTATAGCCCTCTAAAGTTAAGGTAAAAAATCTGCAACTTTCTTATCTCTTGACATTTTACAACTAATAAATTGTTAGTTTGATCACAAAAAATAAAATAATGCTGAGATCAATTTGACATAACTTCATTTTTTTGACTAATAATAACCAATCTCTGAATTAATTCACCTGAGCCTGTGTATTATTTTATTTTTTTGTGATCAAAGTATCAATTTTAGGAGAAAATGACAAGACACAAAAAAGTTGAACATGTATTGAATCCCTCTATTTAAATCAAGTTTTTAAAGATAAAACGAGACGCATTAAAAAGTTTTGATGCAAAGTATTATAGAGGTTGATTTTTTCACCCCCTTGTAATAACATTTTAGGGTTATAAAAATCGTCACTTTATTTATTTATTATTTATCTGCCAAATTTCATTCTTCTAAATACCTCCATAGTGGATTTAGTAAACAAAAACAATTTTTTCTCCTAACTTTAGATTGCTGTAACTCGGTGGGGAAAAGTTATATGAAAGACCCTCCATAATTTTTGCTGAAAAATCACTCCTTGAAATTCTTCGCATCAATTTAAGAAAACCTGTATATCCCTGAGTCTCCCTAGCCAACCTCAACACCCACATCCTCTAAGAGCCCTTGTTCCTTCCATCCCCATATCTCCATCCCATACATCATTACGCTTTTTAGCAAGCTCTCAAACATTAATTTCCTTTTTCTCACATCTTTCCCAAAAATCGTCTGTCCAAACCTGTCCCATAACCTTATTCGCCCTCGCAGCCAACATTCTAATATCCTCCCTTCTTGTTGGTCTCTAACTGTGTAGCCCCAGTATGTGTACTCCATCACTTCCTCAATCACCCTCCCTTTCCATCTCCAGTCGTCAGTTTTCCTTCGACCCCCTTTACAAAAATTTATCATTTTCGTTAATATAATAATATAATATAACTATTCATATGGAATATAAAAGGTGTAGAATGAGACACCGAAGGTGACTAAGTAGTAAAATATGGGGTGTGCCATTTAAAAAAATTAAGTTAAAACTTTCAAATTTCGAAAAGTTAACGTGCCATAATAAGGTGACCAAACACTCTAGGCAGCCAAAACATACTCCATCATGTTGCTTAAGCATGTTCTGAATCCTAAATTGATATCCCAAAAATCGAGTGTTCTCTGATTTTTTTAACAAATGTCTGCTGGAGCAGATTTTTCTAGAAAAATTCGAATAACTCGAGAACGGCCGAATCAAGTTGCAAAACCTAAAGTTATTCATTAACCTTGAAAACAGACAAATCCAAATATGTAAAAATATGCAGGCTGTTCCATTTAAAAAAACAAAGTATGTGGCGACTTCTGGTATAACCGGAAGTGCTAGAATTCTGAAAATATTTTAGTCGAAGAGAACGCAATTGATAATACTTAAGTCTGAATTCTCAAATTTTTATTTTGGCCAGAATCCCAGAAACGTCTAATGACCGGTCTCGCTAAGACAACACCTAACTTGTTTCGTAGAGTGAACATGCCTAAATGTTGAAAATATTCCCTCAACAGAAGCTGATGAATAAACTGCACACCAAAATTGCTTTAATATTGGCAGTACCTTCTCTACTTCAGCAATATGTTTTTGTGACATCCACCATTCTAAAGCACTTACATTACTTAAGACTTATTCTGAAAACATTACTGATAAAAATGGTTCTATTTTTGCTTGTAGTTTTATAGTTAGCGGTAGTAAACCGGTATTGGCGTACATTTCCTTTATTGTATTTAAAGCCTCCTCTTTTTCTACAAGTGGATGTTAGACAACATCCACTAGTATAACCTCATTTAAAAACAAATAAAAATACGTGCTTTCGCTATGAAATGATGAAACAAACTGAAGTTTTATTTCAAATATAAACAATAATAATTTTCATGACAACGCCATGGTATAATGATAAAAACAAATATTTGAACTTGAAATCGACCCCCACTATTGGGATCTCAGAAACCATAAAAGATACAGAAATGGTTAAATGGGGGCAAAGTTGCGTATCTTAGAGTTCATCATTTTTCAACAAAGTTTTTGGATCTAGCCGTTTTAGTTTATAAAATGCTATTGATTTTGCCCAAATCAGGCGGGTTCTGTGACGGTAATGCTACACAGTTCATCAAAAACTTTCATTTTTACTGATGTTTGAACAGTATGTTTGAAACTTTTTTGTATATTGTAGAGTGTATTTCCTTTTTATTCTCGTCACACACTTTTAATAGTTTCTCCCATTGGCTTACATATACTTCCAAACAATCTGCCATACTATTCCACCTCACATCACTTGGCAGCACAAATGCTTTTCCATCAAGCTGTCTGTATTTGGCTCTAGCTAATTGGTTATTTCTAAAATATTTTATAATTTGTGTAACGTGCTCCTTAATATTTGTTACTTCTAAATCTTTGCAAAGTAGGTTTAAAAGGTGAGCTGAACACCCATAAGTTATCATTGGTGCAATTCCTCTTGTATGGTTCTTCTTATTAGCGCCATATTAGCAGTACTATCTGTAACAAGTGATGTGACATTACAGTTGTATTTTGATTTACATGAGGAAATCATATTGCAAGCAATATCAGTTAAATAGTCACTTGTATAGGGATTTCCGGATGTATCTACATATAGTTTCATATAAAAAACAGTGTGCAGTTTCAGTGGTTATGCTAGCGCATTTATACTATAGGTTCATTCACGCCATACCCAGAAAGACTTCCTTTCAACATTTAGTTTTCTCTTCTTTATAAACTTGTTCCAAAAGTGTCGTAGAAATTGTTTAGCCAGAAGGGGGATTATAACCAGGTTTTAACAATTCAATTGCTTTCTTCACTTGCCACTCGTCCATATATTTAAAGCTGCTGTTTGTTGCCCTGATCACTACCAGGATCGCGAGGGCAACATATGCCAGTGCATGCACCTTCCTCCTTCCGATCCCCCCTCCCCCAACCGTCTTCTATGTCTGCAGTGTACAAAGCAAAGAGGACAGGACTAAGCAAGTAACGATTCTTTATTTATTATTTATTTTTGTTTTAGATGAATCATCTTATAACCCAGAAGCAAAACCAAACAAGTTTTTCTTTAATGTGGAATCTTCTGGTGCATTAAAACCTGATAATATTGTAACCATGGGTGTAGCTATGTTAAAGGATAAATTATCCAACCTTCAAACTCAACTCAGTCATGAATTACAAACGGATGCCCTTGCTATATAAAAATTAGTTTTAAGAATTTGTATTGTAACCTTTTAGGTATAAATAAAACAAGTAATTTTATGTTTTAATTTAATTATTAATATTGAAAACTCGCTAACATTATTTTTTCTCTTCCTCTAACTGCTTAATCCTTTCTTGAAGTTGTGAAACCATGATATTTGATCGAGCGTTTAATTGTGAAGCTAAATGACCACCAACGTTATTTAAAGTTTGTACAAATTCAGATTGGGCTGTAATTAAATTAGGGATTGCTGCATATTTCATTAAATCATCCCTGTTTAGAAATTTTCCTTCAACAATCGCAGCTAATAAAATTAAAGCGGGGTATTTTTTATTAATATTTAACACTTTTTTAATTTCTACTTGAGGAGAAAATAAAATCATGTTATGTGACACATAAAAATCCAAAATATTCTCGAATTTAGTTCCTTTCACTGCCATTTCTAAGGTTTTTTTCCCACATCCTTTTAGTAACATATCCTGTTTTTTAAACAATACTCTTGCCATAACCTCATCGTCTCCACTGATAGGGTTTTTATGAAAAAATATAATCATTTTTGCTCCATTAAAGTTCCCCAATAATTCATTAGCTAAAATCCTTTGGTAGGGGTTTTCTTCTTCGGTGTCTTTATTAGAGTATTTCACATCTTTTTCACATGATTCATATAAAGGTTTTCGTTCTTTCTTTTTAAAATATTGTTGTGTTAAAGCTATCATTTTAGCTTTCTCGAAATGAGGAGGTTTCGGTCTTTGAATGTTTATTTTACCTCTGAATCGTTTTATTTGATTTAAAGCGTTTGTTGGGCGCAAAATTTCTAAAAAAAAACCAAAATTTTTATTTAATTTGAGGTTATGTTATATATAATTTTATATTATTGTTTTAATCTAAACTTTATAATAACATTTATACTAACCGGTCCGTATAATTGATAACATTTTCGAATATATTTTTCAAATATATTTAGATTTTATTGAAAAAACACAATTTTTATCCTTTTTTTGAGGTTATATCACTCAACATATGTCAAAAACAAACTTAACCTCACTTAATTCAAAAAATTAAAAATGGATTTAGAATGTATTAATACAATAGATTGCAATCAAGGAGCTATAAGAGCGGTTCGATTTAATGTTGATGGAGCTTATTGTTTAACATGCGGTTCAGATAAGAAATTAAAACTTTGGAATCCTTATAAAAGCCTTTGTTTAAAAACTTATGGGGGTCATGGAAATGAAGTTTTAGATGCGGCAGGATCATGCGATAGCGGGCAAATTATATCTTGTTCGAGCGATAAATCGGTTATTCTTTGGGATGTCTCAACAGGGCAACCATTAAGGCGATTTCGAGGTCATGCCAGCACTGTTTCTTCAGTCAAATTCAATGAGGAATCTACCTTGGCGATATCTGGAAGTCATGATAACACTGTGATGATTTGGGATTTAAAATCGCGAAGAAACGAACCTGTCCAAACTTTAAATGATGCTAAAGATTGTATCAGTTCTGTTCAAGTAACAGATTATGAAATTTTAACAGGTTCTATTGATTGTTCAATAAGAAGATATGATATTCGTAATGGACAGATGTTTTCTGATTTTATAGGAGGTAAAATTTGTTGATTTTTATTGATATTTAGTGATTTATATAATTTTTTTAAGCTGCCATAACTTCTGTTAATATAACCAATGATGGTCAATGTATTTTGGTAAGTACTGCTGATAACAGTGTGAAATTATTCGATAAAATAACAGGAGAGATGTTATCTGAATACATTGGACATAAAACTGAAGATATAAATGTTGAAAGTTCAGTAATGGCCAATGACAGCATTGTTATTTCTGGTTCAATCACTGGAGAAATGTGGTGCTGGGATTTAGTTTCTGGTAAAGTGATCAAAAGATATGAACATACATTTAGAAAAGTGTTGAATTCTTTATGTGTTCATCCTAGGAAGGATATTGTAATGACCGCTTCTGTTCACACTGTTAAAGTTTGGGGAAAACCCAGTGATTTACAAGTATTAAATTCTATTGTTAATGATGATTAGTAATAGGAACAAAAAAAAAGAATTTGTATTGTATTACTCTTTTTATTAACTTTGAATTTTTGTATTAATAACAATTTTTAATCAAACATAATCAGAAAAACAATACAAATCACAGTACAAATTGAAATAAAATTGAGCATTTCAAAAAACTCTCGTCTAATCTCAATGGATTTTGACAGTAATTGGAACGTTGGGGGTAATAACAAAAAAGTACAGTTGCAAACAACATTTAAACCATTAATGCAATTTAACCTTAAAACATATTTTATATGTTAATGTAAAATTTAAGTGAATAAATAATGAGATTTAATGGTTCAAATTGAATATTCGCAATTGTAATTATTTTTAAAATATAAGCACACGAAAATTCTTGTACTTTAGACTAAATAAATGCCAAAGACTTTATTTTAGACGTTAATGGCAAAATTTGCGTTATAAGCGTTTGCTAATCTAGTTAAAGTCTCAGCTGCATCTAATTCTTCTCTCCCATGTTGTTGATAATTCCCCCCATCATAATTATTCTTAATTTTCTTCTTTTTCTGCGTTTTCGTCAACGTCCAATGCAAATAATTTTTTTCACTCGGTCTAAAATTAGCTGCACTTTCCCTCCATTTCGATATAATAGAGGGTTTAGCGATTTCATCCTCATAATTATTATTATTTGAAGACGTATTTTCAACCTTTTGGCAATCTCTTAAATATTTCTCCATAATATGACTTTTATATTTATTTGCTTGCTGAGGAACTTCTTGAATATCGTTTTCCGTGGTTGAACTGATATAATAGCATTGAGCTTGAATGTTATTATTCTCACCTTCTATCGTATAACAATGATCCAAAAGATTTTTATCGAGAAATTCGTCGTTTTCCCGTGCGAACGAATTTTGCCGAACGAAATCTTCGTACTGTTCAGCATCTATTTCAACGGAATGATGTTGAACGCTATCATCTTCCCAGATGCTATCATCGGAACAAATACTAAAATGTTCTACGTTTCCTTGAACTTGACTGTTGTAGGTTTTAATTAAGTAACCCCAAGTTTTTCTTTGTGGTTCTTTTCCCGCATTTTTTAATTTTCTTCGCCAATTTGCAAACCAATTACATACCTAAAATAAATACAAGAAATCTCAGTTAAGTTGGTAATCTTATGTGATTATATAAAAACAATAATTTATCAATCGTTTCACTACAAAAGATCAACCGACAGTGTAGCTCTTATCTTACACTTTTTATCAACTGATCAAGATAATGTCTGAAAATGTAATTGATACTAATTTAATGCAAAGTTGTTTGAGCTTGCTACTATCTCAAATAACACAACATTCTATCTAAATAAAGTGATGTGGAAGGTCTTTATCTCTTTATGTCATGGAAACAGAGATTTTTATAAAAACTTTTTTAATTTAAGATAATACTCGACAAAAATTGCAAAAATCCGAGCAGCATCATTGAAAGACAAGCTTTTTATCATATGGAATATATAATATTGATGAGAGGAGTGCTGTCGACTACAGCCTCTAAATATTGATTTTTGATTCTATATTTACTTTATTTATTTAATACATACAGTTGAGCATGGAAACGGGACGAACCCGAGAAAAATACATCAAAATATATAGAATTTACGTATATAAACTAATTATCATGATAGCGAGTCGCAAAAGACATCAAATTCCGCTCTACGATGTAAATGGTCGCACGTGCGCGCCATTCACAACATGGGAGAGTTCTGGAAGACATGGGAAGACATTCGTACGAGGAGTAGGCATGTAAAATAAATAATCGAGCCAAAGACGCCGGAGAAAAACAGGAAAATTAACGACTTCAAAAAGGCTATGAGAATCAATACTGTCATTAATGATTTTATGGAATGTCAAAGCATTTCCACATGAACGACGTTAACGGAGCGATAAGAAGTTGAAGGAGGCACAAATGTTGCTTTTAAACCATAGATACTTTAGGAATTTCTTTTGAATCGTTTCAATTCTGGTATTTGATATTGGGGATTCCAAACGAAGCTGCAGTAGCTTAAAACGCTATGCACATACGCAAAATACATCTTTGCTGTCATTTTTTGACATTTAAAGCTGTCAACGGCGATTTAATATTTTCAGAAAACGCATTTTTCCCGATTTTTTTCTTATACAACCATATGATTTGATATGTTCATCGTATAGAGGGACTTATCCTGTATCAAAGTATGCAAAAAACATATGCATCCCATTTAAAATAACAATATTGGTTGCCATAGCAACGAAACAAAAAACAACACAAACAAGCAAATACCGGCAAAAAATGCGCCACGATTAATAATGATACTTGTATTTGAAACATTTTTTTTAAAACCGCAAATGGCGAAATTATTGGCTATATTCCAGACATTTGACACAACCTGTATATTCGGCGCCTTGCCCCAAAAATTAAAGGTATACCATTCGGCAGCAAGACACAACAAATAATATCAGCGGATGTTGATAAAAAGAAGCATGTATAAAAACCCTTGGCTCACACCAAAGCTAAAATTGTTATGGCTACGTAAGAAGAAGTTCCACTTAATGCATAAATCCAATAAAACACCAAGAAACTACATCAAATACACACACATAAGGAACACAGCAAACAACAGAATAACAGAGATAAAGAGAGAACATTGGGGGAGTTTAGCAAAAAAATCAAAAATGCAAATCTGGGAAATGTTGAGATCAACAAAAGAGGAAAATAAACGGAACAGTGGCTTAAAATAACATTTCAACGGTCAAGTGAAGCAGCCACTTTCAAGGTTTGTGTACAGAAAAAAAAAATGATGATGTAATATCCACTGAAAAAGTAAGACTAGAGAAAGCAGATGCTGCGGAAGATGAAGAAATAGAACAGTTCACAACGGAGGAAGTGGCACTACAGATAAAAAGCTCTAATGAGCTGTTGAAGTGCAGGATATAGAAACTTTAGACAGCTGGATAAACGGTATCACTATTGAACTCCTTAAGAAAGGAATATCCTGAGAGAATTACCGAAAATTTTCCATCCTACAAAACAGGTTAAAGGTCGACGCGGTTTTCGTAGTAAACCAAGTAGGGGATAAAGCAATAGACTAGCTCTGAGTCAGGAATGAGTCAACCTAATATAAACAATGTCACCACAATTAAACGAGAGACGAGGGATGGGGTTGTGAGGCAGGCTAATAGAGTCAGCTCACTGCTCTTCAACAACTTAATGGACGAGATCATAAAATAAGTGTGTAAGGTAAAATACGGATAGCTAAAAATCATATGCTACGCTGACCACGCAATATTGACAATGACAATGCATACAAAAACGAAAATTATGATAATAGCTAGAGATGGGCAGAGTTATAAACTAAAAGTGAACGAACACATGATAGTGCAAGTAACAGTCCACACTTATTTGGGCGTATATGTCGTCTTATGGAGAACTCAAGTATAACGTGAGAAAATTTGTGAATAAGTCAGTCAGAATTGAGTTGGTTTAAGAGTTCTGTACAGTTCTGAAACTTTCTGTGCATGCATATTGCATATTATACGTATGCGTGGAAAGGTTCAGAAGTGTTCAAAACTAGAGAACTAGAGAACCAAAACAGATCTAATATCTACCGAGACCAAAGTGACTGTGTACAACACTTGCCCAAATCAATAGTAATGGTGAAAACGAATGGTGAATCAACACTCAGCCATCAATAGCGCGGTGCAATGTAACACACGATTCGCTCAGTACACTGCAGTGTTGTTCTACAACATCAAGCAGTAGGCGTCTCTCTCAAGTCTCACGAAAAGTAGCGAATCGTTTAAAATGATTCATTGCCTCACGTACGCAGTAGTGCTTTTGTATACAATCATTGTTACTTTAATACCGAACATAATCAAAGTAATGTTAAGTTGAATTTAAGACACGATTTAAATTTATCCAAAGTTGTCTAAGTTATCCTTTACTCGCAGATGATTAATTAATTATTTGTAGCACCGGAAATATGATTTTTTTTTTTAAATAAAGGCAACCCAACCCAATTTGTTTCAAAAAACAACTAATTTAAATAAATTTGATAACTGCGTCCTTAATTAAGCTAAAGTGATCAAGTTAGATGTAAACTAAAGCTCAATATTTGTAGCACCGGAAATATGCTATTGTTAAATAAAGGCAACCCAACCCAGTTTTACACATTTTAATTTTATACAAAATTGTCTAAAATATTCAAAATGTATCTAAAATTATCAAAATTTTACAAAATGGTTCAAAATGATCAAAATGTTACTGAAATTATGTATACTTGCTCAAAATTACTTAAAAGCGCAAAATTTTATAAAATTGCCTAAAATGATCAAATTGAATTTAGAATTGTCAAAATGTGTCTAAAATTATCTAAATTCCCTTGAATAATCCTTGATAATCCTTGTTTTCCAATGTATCAAAAATGACTACTAATTTTATCTCGCAAAAACCATTCACAATTTTTGAATTAAAACATAAAAATCTTACAATGTAAAAAATATGAAAGATAATACAAGCTCTGTTTACGTAGTTAATACAAATTTTTGCGTTTTTAAATAATTAAGTAAGTTTACATTACATAGTCAACATTAAATGATTTNATTTGTGAATAAGTCAGTCAGAATTGAGTTGGTTTAAAAGTTCTGTACAGTTCTGAAACTTTCTGTCCATGCATATTGCATATTATACGTATGCGCGAAAAGGTGCAGAACTGTTCAAAACTAGAGAACTAGAGAACCAAAACAGATCTAATATTTACCGAGACCAAAGTGACTGTGTACAACGCCTGCTCAAATCAATAGTAATGGTGCAGTGTTGTTCTACAACATCAAGCAGTAGGCATCTCTCTAGTCTAACGAAAAGCAGCGAATCGTTTAAAATGATTCATTGCCTCACGTACACACTAGTGCTTTTGTATACCGAACATAATCAAAGTAATGTTAAGTTGAATTTAAGACACGATTTAAATTTATCCAAAGTTATCTAAGTTATCCTTTACTCGCAGAAGATTAATTAATGATTTGTAGCACCGGAAATATGATTTTTTTAAATAAAGGCAACCCAACCCAATTTGTTTCAAAAAACAACTAGTTTAAAAAAAATTGATAACTGCGTCCCTAATTAAGCTAAAGTAATCAAGTTAGATGTAAACTAAAGCTCAATCTTTGTAGAATGTTTGTGACAAATGTCGTTTTTTCAATATTTGTAGCACCGGAAATATGCTTTTGTTAAATAAAGACAACCCAACCCAATTTCACACATTTTAATTTTATACAAAATTGTCTAAAATATTCAAAACGTATCTAAAATTATCAAAATTTCACAAAATAGTTCAAAATGTAACTGAAATTATGTATACTTGTTCAAAATTAATTAAAAGCGCAAAATTTTATAAAATTGCCTAAAATGATCAAATTGAATTTAGAATTATCAAAATGTGTCTAAAATTATCTAAATTCCCTTGAATAATCCTTGTTTTCCAATGTATCCAAAATGACTACTAATTTTATCTCGAAAAAACCATTCACAATTTTTGAATTAAAACATAAAAATTTTACAATGTTAAAAAATGAAAGATAATACAAGCTGTGTTTACGTAGTTAATACAAATTTTTGCGATTTTAAATAATTAAATAAGTTTTTCTAATTCGCGACGGTAACGAAAGCTCTAACAGTACTCAAACGGGTGCTGTAATGAGATTTTAGTAACATTTTATGGAACCAGTTCAAGTTGGTGACATTGGGTCATTAATTTTTCTAGTTGTCAATGTGATAATTTTTGTTTATGGATGTTTAAACACGTTCTTACCATCGAATGCAAGGTCTATAATGATGAGGACATTGAACTCTGAGCAATTTCTCTTATATTGGGAGATGTACATGAAACATTTTTTTCAGGTGAATACATTTTGTGTTTTGACAATTTCTAATTGTTAATTCAAATTTCTATTTTCAAGTGTTACGGTGTTACCAACTGTTACATACCTATTTCCCTACATTGTCAAAATTTATTTTATTTTTGTTAAAAAAAAGGATAAAAACGCGAATTACAAAAAATAGCATAAAAAACACGTTTCGTAAGACTTAAAGCACTCATTCATTAAAAAACTCGTGGCTTCGCCACTCGTTTTTCAACTTGAATTCGTGCATTTCAAGCGTGTCTTACGAAACTTGTTTTTTAATATACTATTACATTACATAGTCAACATTAAATGATTTTGGACACATTTTGGACTTTTAAATAATTTTAAACTCATTTGGAACATTTTTGATAATTTTTAGACAACTTTGTACAAGTTTTGCACTTTTTCAGCAAAATTTTTAAAATTCAATGCGTTCAACTCAACTTTTCAAATATCTATTTCGCGAATGGTTTTAAAGCATTCGCTGCTTTTGAATTAACACGGCACTACATGATTCACGGTTCTATTGACGAATGGAAGAAACATAGTAATAGCGAATCGATTAATATGATTCGACATATGAGCCATTCGTTACAGGTCTCGGAGTCGACAATACAGTAATTTAAGAAAGAACACCGCACATGATTAATAGCAACTATTGATGAATGAAGGCAGCACTCAAGCAACGAATCAGCTAATACGATTCACTGCGGGAGTAGGCGAAGTCTCTTCAGCCCACAGTCCATTCCTGTTTGGCCATCACAAATGATATACCAACTGCTAGCTCCACAAACACTTTAGCGATGCCCTCTCGTGCTAGCTAATCCGCCGCTTCATTGCCAGCAACCCCAGAGTGCTAGGTCACTCTGGGGTTGTGTATCAAATCTCGTTGATACACACTGTGTACCAACGAGATGGTGATTTTAAGAACAACCACTGCAAAACACATTATGGGATCATAGGAGAAGAAATTCTAAATTAATATGGTACGGAAGATATGGTAAAATGGATTCGCGCACACAGGAGACTTTACGAGCACGTTTCACCAATAGAAAGGAATAGATTGAAGGATTCTCATTACAAAAAATGCAGGCAGAATAGAATGGGTAGGACAAGTGACCTTCCGGAAAGAGGAAGAAGAACTTCACAAAACCTGAGAAAATTCTTCAATTTTCTTGAAATTCCCAAGACGTTGTTAGAAATAGTTTTGAGAATATAATTATACAGGGTGAGCCAGAAAGAATGGGAAATCCGAATACCGGAAATACTACACACCAAAATATGATGATTTAACCTAACATCTCTTATACAAATGTTAGTGGTTTTCGAGGCACAGGGTGTTGAAAGTCTTATTTCGAAATTTCTTGATAATTTTGAAGCTTTTTGTACTATTAACATAAAATTTGGTAGTTTTATGTTTTCGAGCATGAGAAATATTAATTTGAAACTTGCTTTGTTATTGCTCGTAGATTGCTAGTAGGTTAAATCGTCATATTTTGGTGTCTAGTATCTCCGGTATTCGGATTTAGTATTCTTTATGACTAACCCTGTATGATTTTGAAATACTCTTTAGAATATATTGGGAAAACTCTTCTCAAAATTTCTGGATTGTCTAAAAATCTTTATAAAACTTTCAAATTTAATAAAATCAAGATAATAACCATTGATAATAAGCAAGGAGATTATTAAACTTTTCTAAATATTTTTGGATATGTATAGAATTCATAAATTTTTGAAATCTTTCAAAATATTCTGAAAACAATTAAGAAAATCTTCAAAAATTCTATAATATTTAGGGAAATCCATAAAATTCGCTAAATATCATTGGGAAATTTGATATAAACAACATAAACATTTGAATGTTTATGGTAATTCTTAAAATTCTCTGAACATCTTTGGAAAACTTGTGAAAATCTAAGAAATCTAACCTAAATCCAGAAATTTCTGGATATATTTGTATAACTCCTCTAGAAATCATTTCAAAATCCTCTCGAATAAATGTTCTGCAATGTGTCTTTTAACATGTTCTACAGGGTGATTTATTAGCTCACCATCAAACTTTGACATATGATAGCTAATCCAATTACCAAAAAAAAATGTTAAATTATGTCCTATTTCAATTATTTACGAAATTATAACACTTTAAAATTTTAATTTTTATATCATAATTAACTGCTACATTTTTTTTTAAATCACATAAATATTACAAATATTGTTCAAAATAGCCTCCTGCTAGAATACATGCTTCACAACGACGAATTAAAGAGTTCTTCAGCCGAATTAAAATGTCTGGTTGATTTCTTATTTTAGTATCAGCCATTTGTATTCTGTTTAATAACTGTTCTCGTATGTTAATTTCCACTTGATACACAATTTGTTTCATTTAACCCCATAAGTAGAAACCCAATGGATTAAGGTCGGCGGATCTAGGTGGCCAAGCAAATGGACTATTATTACCAATCCACTTGTGTGGAAAATATTGGTTTAACCACTCGACAACTACTCTTTCGCAATGAGGTGAGGCACCATCGTGCTGGTACCACATATTTTGAATTACATTAAGAGGTATATCTTCAAGTAAATCAAAAAATGTCCATCAAGTACATGCAAACCAGTAAACTGTTGTTACATATTCTACCCCAAACGTTGATGCTGAGACGTTGTTGAAATTTCCTTGGTCTAATCGCATGCGGATTTTGTAATGCCCAGATATGTTCATTATGGTAAATATTTATACCATCTCGTGTAAAACATGATTCATCTGTCCAGAGAACATTTGAAATGAAGTCATTATTTTGGGCATATTGCTGCAATAACCATTCACAAAATGCTAACCATTGCTGATTATCTCCTGGCTGTAGAGCATAACATTCTGTTTACGATGCAGATGAAGGACTTTGCCGTTCAATACGCGCCATGCAAAATTTTGACTTACCTGTATGTTGTGTGCTATTCTTCGAGTGCTGATGGAAGGATTATCAATGATAGCTTCAATCAATAGCTTTTGCTGGAGCAGCATTACCTGTTTCTCGAAGTTTTCTGAAAGAATCGCTAAAAACTGAATAATATGGCAAATGACGATGTGGAATCTTTCTTGATATTCTCGTACTGAGTGTCATGTTCGACACTCAGTATGGTTTCCATTGCAAAAACCATACACGAAAATTATATCAGCTTACTCTTCAGTGCTATAAGCGTAGATTTTGAGTTTCTTCTTGTATGTAATAATTAAACCTTACAGCAAACTGACATATTACAATGACAACTTTGTTTTTGTTGAATGTTTGATTTTACCGACTATTAATAAATTCGCTGCAGAAAACTTTAAAGTGTTATAATTTCGTAAATAATTGAAATAGGACATATGGTCATATATCCAAAAATATGTCAAAGTTTGATGATGAGCTATTAAATTACCTCTTCTCAAAAAATGTTTTGAAATTTTCTGGATAGTCTAAAAATCTTTATAAAACTTTCAAATTTAATAAAATCAAGAAGAAATCAATAATTCTTCTTGATTTATGATTATAACCAAGAAAATTATTAAACTTTTTTGAATATTTTGGGATATGCATAGAATTCATAAATTTTTGAAATCTTTGAAAATATTCTGAAAACAATTAAGTATCCTAGAAAATCTTCAAAAATTCTTAAATATTTATGGAAATCCATAAAATTCGCTAAATATCATTGGGAAATTTGATATAAACAACATAAACCTTTGAATGTTTATGGTAATTCTTAAAATTCTCTGAACATCTTTGGAAAACTTGTGAGAATCTAACCTAAATACAGAAATTTCTGGATATATTTGTACAACTCCTCTTCTTTCAAAATCCTCTCGAATAAATGTTCTGTAATGTGTCTCTTAACATGTTCTAGATAGTAATCATGTTTTTTTTTGCAAGTGTTATGTTTCGATGAAACCGCAATGTTAATTTAAACAAAAGTTAATTAGTGTAATAGTTTGGATTTATTAAAAAATTTGTTAAAAAGACTTTAAAAAAATATTCTTACTTGAATATAAGTTAATCCTGTTTGGAGAGCCAAAGCTTTTTTTTCATCCCGATTCGGATAAGGATTATCTCGTCTCCTCACCAACCATCCTTTGAGGAACCTTTTAATTTCCGGTGTAAAAAGTCGTTTAGGTGGTCGCCGTTCTTCCCCAAAATTTCTCCTGAAATCCGTTTTTTTTTGGTTTCGTCTTAAACTTAAATATCGTTTCAAGAAAGATTTTCAATTTTCATCACACGTTGGTTAAAAAATAAATAAACAAGAACAAAAAAAAATACAAAAACCATTTTTAGTATTAAATAATAATTTTAGGATCATCAGAAAAACAGCAAAATCACACGAACCATATCAAGCTGACCTGTTGTATTTCTTATTTCTAACAGGTCGCCTCGATCGTTCCTTTCCGTTATCAGCGATGACGACCCTTTCGTCCATGTCTATGCCGGACGATATAAGAAAAAGACAAGAAAATACATATGTAATCTCGGTTCGAGTTTAAAAATAGCGTTAACACGATCGCCTTGTTGAATAAGAGTGAAAACAAGATGGCCTACTCATGAAACAAATCTTGTAAGTTAGCCTATGTCAATTTTTCGGACAAATTGCTTCAAAAATTATATCCCCAAAAACATTTATAAACATTTAAAGTAACATTTACGTTTTAACGGGTTAGTTTGGTGGCAATTTCTAAGCGTTGTTTTCAAAAAACATCATCGCGTTAAAACTGTGTAAATGAGCAACGTGACTCATAAAACATGAACCGCACAAAAACTGAAACCGTATTTATTCATGGAAAATAAATTCACAAGACAGAATCATTTTAAAATTAAGGAAAATGAAGGATTGGGTATTTACCTGTTTAATTATTTTGTGGCTTATTATTATTCAAAACTAGATTTGATTGTAGATGGTGTTTGCAACCGACACCGAATAACAACTAGTTAATTCTGGGGACATCTCGCGCTGCAAGCGTTTTATTTTCAGAGCATCTCCCGCGTCGTGTTTTTTATAATTGCTCTATTTTGTGTCTCGGGTTTCTGGTACGCGCGTCGATTGCGCAAAAACCGGACTCTCGAAGGGTTTACGTCGTTCCGTTAACATTTCCATCATCACCTTGTCATCATTTCTTCTTATGGAAAAACGAAATCCTACCTGACAAACGAATGGCAATAACTGCTTCGAAGGACAGACTCGAATTCGAAACAAAAATACCAACCCGAAATCCTATTTATATCACATATATATACATACACATATAAATGTTATGTCTTTTTCGAAAAGATTACTTGTTGTATATTTTGATAAGTTTATCTTTAATTCATTAATTTTTTTTATAAGGTGTATTTCAAAAATAAATAAATCAAAAAAATCAGGTTAAAAGAAAATTCTGTATAATTTTGAATCAATACGCACTCAAATTATTGCGGACTCCTTGCCATAGAAAATATTTACTTAGAAGACGAAATACAAGAAGTCGCGAGAGCTGCAATTACACCATCTTGTCAACACATTTTTTTGTCTTATAGTCAATAACTCCATTTAAGATGTTGTTTCTGTTAATTTATTTCCTATTTTGACTTATAATGGCACAATTAAGAAAAATTCTGCGCACATTTTTTCATCATTAAAGAGGAAATTCTCAAAACTGCGAAATCATTAAGAAATCTAAAATATTTCGAGGAAATACTTACTGAGGTTAAAGTGTTAGTTAATGACGCATTTATCATCCTTCTTATCAAATAAAGCGTTTCCATAAAGAAAAGGAATTTTGCCCTTAACCTAGAAGCGATAAACCATTTCTTTGGAACATAATTTACAACTATATTTTTAGAAATTAGAAATGTCAGAGAATACGTACATGGTGGTTTTCCATGCTGAAATAGCTTTTAAGTATTTAGGTTTGATCTTTGACAGTAAAATCGACTTCGTGAAAAACCATCCAGAGCCACACCAGAAAAAGTAATTAGATTAGAAATCATGTTTATCAACCTGGAAACTATTATGAGATTAATAAGTGGCGCAACTCGTCCACCTAGACTGGAATTTTAATAAATACCTAAATAACATCGTGCTCTCAGTGTTTATGGAACGTGTTCCTGTGCTCTTTGGTACAGCTCAATATGATTTAGAACCGGAGAGGAGACGTTGCTGAGTAGCTAGAGCTCTGTCAGTTATGGCAGAAGGAGCATCATGGGGTATACGACTAATACCAGTTATTGTCGCATGACGTGATAGAAACTATTGTGATCCAATCGTCACCATTCACTGGTATTTCAACGCATACGAAGGTGAGACACCAATTGAATTGGGACATGGTCCTTGAGAGGTTAGAAGGAACAACAAGATTAGACATTAATTTTATTAATCTACTAAACAGAAGTAAGCAAGATGGAAGAAGAAATAGACACAACTGATACACGTTATAATGTGACGAGACAAAAACTGTTATGAATGTAATTATAATTCAAGTTGTAATCCATTGTGCCAGTAGTTACCATTTTTTATTTAATAGCTTTAGATAGATAGATAGATTCTTTATTGTGTTATTAAGAAAGACTTCTCTTACACTCGTCATCTGGTATATAAAACAAAATTCGCACGGAAATTAGTCTGAAAAAGGAAAACCTCATAAAAATACAATGCAATTAATAGGAGCTGACTACAGCAAGCAAAAAATATTCTAGAATATATATACACGGAACAGTCAGAATATTCAATTCATAGAATTTGGTTCTGCAGCATTCGGCAAAGCGCAAACCAAGCATCTCCTTTACATTTGAAAAACCTGGGCAGCATGAGCAGAGTGACTCCAACATATAATGGCGTAGGACACTTGACACATAAGTGACAATCAAAGTGTCAACTGGTACTATATCAGATTTCTAATTGGAAAAATACACTTATTTAACTTCCTGACCAAGCTCAGTACATGAGTTTCCCACGTTAGCTTGGAATCAAGTATTACTCCTAGATATTTAACCGGCTGCGTGAGATTTGGAGGAATTTCCCGTAAAGCAAACATCAACGACTTAGTCTTGGAGGCGTTCACAGCAAGATTATTAGATTCAAACCAAGATAGAAGTCTTCGGGTAGAGCTAAACACAGCCTGATCAAGAGTATTGAAATTAGGGCGGTTATTTATAGTTGCTGTATCATCCGCATAAAGTACAACCTCCGAGCTCTGTGGCAGGCAGCTAGGTATGTCATCAATAAATATCAAAAACAGCAACGGACCTACTACAGATTCTTGTGGGACTCCGTATTTAACTGTAATTTTATCAGAAGTCTGATTGTTGAAAGAAACATATTGAGTGCACTCCGAAAGGTAAGACTTAAGCAGTAGAAGCTTTTAGTCGAAAGCCTTGGTTGGATCAACAAGTGATATCTCAGTCAGCAGGTTGTTTTTAAAGCCATTTCTTATGTATTGAGTTAAGGAGTGTATTGCTGAAGTGGTGGACATGCCTCGACGAACAGCAAACTGAGATTATAAGTTTGTTGTCTAAATAGCTTTAGTAACTGTCATTATCAGAAACTAAAGCCATTTATACATTTTTACGGTGCTTAAAAGCATATAAATTGTATAGTTGGTGATGGGTTCTTAGGTGATGAGGATCTTGTTTCTGCCTCTTACTCTCAATACGATTCTTATACTATGCAGGAGCCAAAAAGAAAATATTACTAAATCCGACCCTGCTAGCACTGACAATGTAAGTTCAGAAAACTTGCAGGCTAAATCTGCATCATATCTCTATCTAACATCAAAAGCTCATCCTTTGCGTAATACAAAAAACGAGTTATTTAGAAAAACGAAAGCTTACGAAGAAAATAACTTTCGATTCAAAGGAAACAAATTTACCAGAAACAATAGAACAGCTATATTCAATGGCAGATTCTATTAAATTTTTGTTAACAGATAATATTGACTTGAGCAGTCGAATCTAAAATCGTTTGAACAATGACATAATTACAAGACAGCAAACGTGATAAAACAAGAAATTAAACGATTTATTGGTCTTGTAATCTTATATCTTATATGAAGTTCCAACGACAAGATTATATTGATCAAAGCATGTAGTCTTTGTAAGTTTTTACATTTTTTTTATAATAATGAAAAGCCATACTGAAAGATATACAAATATAAAATAGCGAGATGTCTCAACTAATTGATTTGTAGAAACACACATATTAATTGTACCACAAAAACAAGAATAAACAAAAGAACGATAAGGCTCATTATGATGTATACAGCAGAAACGAGACCAGATATATCAAAAACAAGACTTCTTGAGACAACTGAAATGAAAATACAAATGAAATGAAGATACATATAAGAATGGAATGGAAAGTAGAAATATTAACAAATGGATACCTACTAAACATAAAACAAGAATGGAATCAACATATTAACAGAACGGCAACCAACAGTCTTGTGCGAGTATTAAGAGACAAATTAGTTATTATTTTAGAAGAAGAAAATGAAAATCCACTTCCACCCATAAAATCTTCTGTAGCAAATCCGGCAGCGTTTATAATTAGTTGCGAAAGAAATATTTGAGCAGTTGATGGACAAATTATCTCCACCACATATCATCACAAGTTAAACGGAATAATCCTGCAAAACCGTATAAGTAAAATTAGAAAACTTAGGTTTCAAACTGTCAGGCTTTAACTATAATTTTGATATCTTTGCTTGAGCAAAGTAATACATCCTTCAGATGCACCTGATCTCAGGGTCAGTTCAATGGCGTCACTCCACTTACCTCCACAGTTCTGTGACAGCTCAAAAGATCTTGATTGAAATGAGTACCCAAACCTTCAAGTTTATTTATTAATACTTCAGTTTATTATCAAAAATGGCTTGTTGTCTATGAGAACTGTTAGACTCAATCGTGTACCAAATTTGAATATGTCTTATGAAAGGAATTAAAGAAAACGAAATGACATAGTTTTGTAGAAAAAAATGCAATTATAGACAGTGTATAGCTGAGAAAGTCTTGGTTTGGTAACAAAAATATTAATCCTTTCGCAGCTCATGTAGACAGTGACAATAATAACAAAACGTTACGTTTGAAAGGAAAAACAATACAAGGAAATAGCTTTCCATCAAGCTAATGATGTTTGTAACCACCACAAGATGCCAAAAGCTCCTGCCAGACCACAAGTTCCTCTGGATTCTGTACCTACGTTCTGACTACAAATTTCCTGTATGCTTCCTGTTTTGATACATATTGAGCATCTAGAATGATTGATAATGGTTCTATATAGGCTCATTACTCAAAATATACATATATCAACATGAATAAAAGTAGATGTATGTTTTATAGCATTAAAGAGGTTCCGGAAACTGTTATGGTAGTTTTTCTAAAATCCTAATTGATGGTCAACCTCTTTAAAATTTTTCTTTTAAAGCTCATATCTTGTAACCAATATATGCCTAGCCGTCTCTTTAAAGGACGTTCGATACAAATCTCTTTATTCATGTGTAAAGTCAACTAGAAGAAGAAACTAGAGGATTAAAATTTTCGTAAAACTTGACATAATGTATTATGTCAAGTTTTACGAAAATTTTCCTCCACATGGGAATATAATCGATGCTCATTGTGTCTGTTTGATCGATTCACAATGATTTTTAGATTGCCAATCATTCAAAATGGCAACTTGTATAGACCTACAACTAATTGGGTACTATTTATTAAGATTTATTATAATTTCATTATGCATATGAAATAGCATAATTATGCAAGACAATCATGATGGTTCTAAAACTCAAAGGGAAGAAAAAAATGAGGAGGAAAAGGACAATATTCGCCTTGAGGTTTTAAAGCTTGCATATAAAAAGCATTGGATTAGGACACAAGGGATCTAGAGATGGACGTAGTTTCATGGCATACCTTTTTTGATGTAAGAACGAACTTATATCTGCAACAACTATTTGCACTCTATCGCATTCTATACACAGAAATCCTTTTTTGGTATTCTTTTGCTTAGTGAATACGTATCATTACCAAAGAGGCGCATGTTAAGGGAAACTTCCTATGATACACGAAGTGAGCTTGTTGCAAGCAACCATCTATATAAAAATAATATTTTGCAGTCCCCCAGTTGTTCGTGTTGGTTTGAAACGGGAGATTTAAATCATATCCTCTTCAACTACGATAAATACGAATTATATCGACCGGAGTTTATCAGTTCTTTGCTATAGTTTGGTTTCTCCTTGCCAATTTGATACCATTTATTTAAATTACTCCTTGTAAATCTTCAATGTTGTGTGCTTTCGTTTTGCGCTGTGGTTTATGGGCTAGGATCCTGCAGAGCCTTGCAAAAAAAACTTATTAAGAGACAAATTTGAATTTATTCTAACAAACATACATTGCTGCGATAATGACATATATACTTTACAAACTGAACCAGAACTTTCAGTCACATTTTGGTAAACATGGGTGCAACCCATGTTAATCAAATACAAACCAATTCGCTATGGTTACAAAATGTGGATGTGGGCAACTAGTAGCAGAATTTGTGTCTAAACTGAAACATATCAGAGTGAAAAAAGCAAAAATCAGTATTAATTATAAGATGGTCTTGGACTGTTTGTTATAATATATGGCAGTACACATATAGGTCGTATTTCATATCACATCTTTTGTGGCAACTTTTTTACAACTGGAACCGTTGTAAAATGTTTACATGAACTACAGAATAGAAACATTTAGTGGAAACAAATGTCCATTTTACCCAAAACTGAAATGAAAAGAAGTTCGTGGTGTTTGTGATTTCTGTTCTGGCAAAAATACGGTTGCTGTTATAACATGGCATAATAATAGTAACTGTATGGGGGTCTACAATCAAAATGTTAGACTTTACAGAACATCTATAAGAAGACGAAAATTGTATTTTTGTCTATTTGCTTACTATTTAGACGTCGCATAACCAAACTCATGGCAGCTTCATCGTGTGCAAGATAAAACTAGATCATTTAATATTTTGATGACAAGGCCCATTTTGATATTCATCATTTCCTCATTAAGCAGAAAAAACAACTGTGTTGCAAAGTGTGTTATAAAAAGTCCAGGAGAAATGTTCTAAATATTCTGTTTTACCATTGGTATTTGAAATAAATATCTTTTACATAATATTCGTATTTATGGATCCTTTTTTAAAGACACGTTTAAAAATCAACTAACACACTTTCTAAGTTATAAATTAAGATATCTTTGTAAATTCTGATTTATCTTGAAAAATAAAGCAGGAATTAAAACAACACATATTTAGGTAAAGCAAAACCTGAATTCTTTTTTGCTGTTAATACACTTTTATGCTCTCGTACTACATTAAGGTTCGGGTTTCCGTTTGTAGGTAATTGTATCATGTGTGGGAATTCGATACGATTTTGAAAACCTGCTTGGAGTAAAATTAAAAAAAAATTGTTGGCATTTTTTGCTTTACATTAGAAGACCAAACGAGTACTTCAAAGAACGAATTCTAAATGATATGCACGTTATAAGAAAAATGTTAATATAATCCGATCACATCATTCAATAAATTTTCATAAAGAAACCTTGAATACATGGTCGAAGAAATTTAATATTGGAGAAGGTAGAATATTTTAATAAAATACATGGAAAGTATCAGGTGATATAGTTAAATACTTAATTATATAAGAAGTAATAAAAAAAAATATTTATTATTATAAAAATACCCAAAATGTGTTTAATAAAACATCCCTAACGTCCCTAAAATTTAAAAATCGATATTTTTAAGATAACTTTATAATCGTATAATAGATGTCGCCACTACAAGACAATCTTTTCTTGATAACAACGAAACGATTTATTAAAAATTCAATTTTATCACAAAAAATGTATTCAATTTAATCCTAAACACAAAATTAATAATCAATATAACGTTTGATAAAATCGCTTGGACGTTTTAATTTAAAAATTTACGTTGTATATTCACCGTTCAATAGATGGCGCTAAACACTCTCTCCTTTCCTTTCAAAAAACCACGTGTAAACGAGACGCGAGTTTCAGTCAGTAAATCGACGTCTTTCGTTTCGGTGTGATGTGGTGTGTTGGGTTAAAGAAGAATTAAAAATTGTTTCAAATAGAATTAAAAATGACGATGAAACGAAAACAATCAGAATCGGAAGAAAAACCTTCCGAAACCAACGGAACGTTATCTATCAACGATGAAGATTTATCAATTAAAAAAAAACGAAAAATTACATTAATGAACGGCGTCGGTCTTATTATCGGTACGATAATCGGAAGTGGGATTTTTGTATCACCAACCGGCGTCTTTCGATCCACCGGATCTGTAGGAGCTTCAATTCTTATATGGTGTCTATCCGGAGTTTTTTCAACATTGGGAGCGTTATGTTACGCGGAATTAGGAACTTCGATAACGCGATCGGGGGGCGACTACGCTTACATTTATACGGCTTTTGGTCCGTTAGCTGGATTTTTAAGACTTTGGGTTGCTATACTTATTATTAGACCGACAACTCAAACGATTGTTGCACTTACTTTCGCTCAATATGCTGTTAAACCTTTCTTTCCGGATTGCGAACCGCCAGAAGATGCTTGTAGACTTTTAGCTGCTGTTTGTTTATGTAAGTTTAAAAATAAATATGGAATGATAAAAAGAATGGATATTTATATTATTTGATTTTCTTTGAGTCATATTATTTGGAGATTTTTACAAAATCCCTTAAAGTATGTATTAAAACAAGATAATTCAAAATTTTTTGTTTAAATTTTTCGAAATCAGATGTTACAGAAAAGTTTAATGTTTTTGGATTTTATGTATGAAGGATTACGAACCCTAACAATTATATATTGGAACATAATAAAATTTATATATAATTAACAACAATTATACAGATTATTTTGCTTTAATAAATTTTTCAAATGAATATCATTTGATTAGACAACAACAATTTTGTCTAATGAACAACACAAACAACTAAATACATATCCTATTACATCTAATTAAACTAGAAAAATTTACATTTTGCCTGACAACTAAATATTGGGACATGGCACGATTTGTATTTCTAATATGGAGTAACATCGCCCTTAGACTTTATAACCGCTTGAATTCGGTTGGGCGTTCAATTCACTAAGGTTCTGCACTGTTCAGGAGTAAATCCATCCCAAATTTGTTTTATTTTGGCTTTAAGTTTTGCCAAAATTGTTCCTCAAGGTTGTTCCTCAAAGTTTGTTTCATTTTGTGCCACACTGTTTCAATTACATTCAGATCTGGACTGTTGGAAGGACATTAATATTTTGATCGCTAAATCACTTTTTTGTAGTTTTGGCCGTATGACAAGCCGCTCCATCCTGCTGAAATATGTAATTTTCGCCAACATTTAACTTCACGATACTTGGTAGTAAGCTGTTTTGTAGTATTTGTTGATATTTTGCGGCGTTCACGGTGCCGTTAATAAATCCAAAACATCCTAATCCTGAACGCGTGTGAAGTTGGCCATAGATTTCAGCCATAGATTTTAAACTGAAAAAAATGCGTGATAGGGGTATTCAATCGATCTAATTTCAACGGCATTACATTCCTGGTCGCTTCTTGCTGCAGATTCGAAAAGAACATTTTCTAACCATTCCTTATATGCCGAGAAAATCGATTTTCTTCAAACATTCGCAAATTTCGGTCGATTCGGTTCGGGGTTTCTAATCGATCTCATTTTAACGGCATCGTATTCCTGGTCGCCTCTTGCTTTAAATTGGAACAGAAAAGGTTCCTAATCATTTCCTATTTTCCGGAAAAACCGATATTCTTCGAACATTCGCAAATTTTGGCTTGTTCGGGGTTTCTAATTAATCTAATTTCAACGGCATTATATTCCTGGTCGCTTCTTGCATCAGAATGAAAAAGAAAATTTTCCTAACCATTTCTTATATTCCGGGAAAATCGTTTTTCTTCAAACAATCGCAAATTTCGGCCTGTTCGGGGTTTCTACTCGATCTAATTTCAACGGTATCGTGTTCCTGATGCCCTCTTACTTCAGATTCAAAAAGAAAATTTTCCTAACCATTTCTTATATTCCGGGAAAATCGTTTTTCTTCAAACAATCGCAAATTTTGGCCTGTTCGGGATTTCTAATCGATATAATTTCAACGACATCGTATTCCATCGTATTCCACCGTATTCCATCGTATTCGTATTGAATATTTTCGAATCTGAAGCAAGAGGCCACCAGGAATACGATGCCGTTGAAATTAGATCGATTAAAAACCCCGAACGAGCCGAATTTTGCGAAAGTTTGAAGAAAATCGATTTTCCCGGAAAATAAGAAATGGTTAGGAAAATTTTCTATTCGAATCTGAAACAAGAGGCTAGCATGAATACGGTGCCGTTGAAATTAGATCGATTGAATACCCCGGTCACGCATTTTTTTCAGTTTAAAGTCTATGGCTGAAATCTATGGCCAACTTCACACGCGTTAATCCTGAAGCTGTCATATAGCCCCAAATCATTACTCCCTTCGGAAATTTTACACAACGTTTTAAACAATCTTTATGAAATACCTCATGTTTATTGCGAATTACGCATTTACGGTAATCGCCAACACATACTTCAATTTTCGATTCATCGCTGAATATTTACCCTGCACCAATCTTCTGCTGACCAAGAGAGATTAGATTTTGCCTATGTGAGCCTGGCTTTCTTTTGTTTTTCTGTTAACAGTGGTGTTTCTTTTGCCTATAAAACAACAATTTTCTAAATGCTGCATTTTTAAATTATTACTTGTAAGTAAACCTTGTAAAACTTTAATCATTATTCCATTCAGCGGTAACTGTCTCAAAGTATTTCTTCGTTCTTTTTTGTAGATTTTTACAAGTATTCTTTTATTTTTATCAGAAACTAACTTTGGACGACCTGAACTTTTACCCTTTTTTTCTAAAATTTGCCAAGTTTCTCGATAATGTTTGATTACATTCCACACTGTGCTTTTAGGAATATTAAGTTCGTCTGCAATTTCACGTATTGTTTTATTGCGGCAATAATTTTTAATTACTAATTCACGGATTTTTGACCCTGTAGAGATACCACGCACCATTTTAGTTGATAAATACAGATTTACCCAACAGCAACAATGTTACAAGCTTTGGAACAAACCGGCAATTTGACATTTCATTTTACGTTGTTTCCACAGTTTACTTAATTTGTTCCATTTTTATGGAAGTTACTTAATACTGTCCCGATATTAAGTTGTCAGGTAAAATGTACATTTTTCTAGTTTAATTAGAAGTAATAGGATATATATTTTGTTTTTTGTGTTGTTCATTAGACAAAATTGTTGCTAATTATCTATTCAAATGATATTAATCTGAAAAATTATTAAAACAAAATAAACTGTTTAATTGTTGTTAATTTTATACACATTTTATTTTGTCCCAATATATAGTTCGTATAATGACAGTATTGATTTTGTTTGGTTTTTCAAAGTTTTAAATTTTGAAAATTCCAGAAAATTCAATAAATTAAATTACGCTTTAATTTCTTTTCCAACATTTTCAGAACGTTCAAATTCCAATCTTATGAAAAGCGAAGTTGTTGTTTAAATCATTTGTAGTATATTGTACAGGTCTGTCATGACGAGCTGAGTCTATTATTTACAGGGTGGGCCAAATTGGTCACTTTTAAAAGGAAACTCCTATTTTGTAGTCGATGTTGATGTTGTAGTCCATTTTTTAACCAGTTTTTTCTTTAATTTAGAGGTAACAAAGGTTTTTTTGTGAGTTTTGCACTTTTACTGGTTAGTAAAAAATTCTTGTATTATATAATAATAATACGTCTCTTTATTTACATGTTTCGCCTGTCCTAGCAGGCATCTTCAGAATAGAGAGTAACGTACAAGTTGAAAATAAATTTTTTTTTTTTGAATAGCGGAAACTATTATATTGTTAAACTAATGGCCAAATTCCGTTTAAAAAATCACAAATGGGCAGATTTTAGAGATAAAACAATTTTTACAATCAGTCATGGTAACGTGTCGAAAATGTCTTAACAACTGTTTAACAACTGTTTAACAAACTCCTATTTTTATAAGAGATAGAGGAAAAATGATATCAGTGTCTAAGGCTCGATTTTTATAAGAAACTTAATGGCGAAAACCGCATATCGATATCTTTTACGATTTCAGAGATACAGGGTGTTCTTCAAAAAAGTGCATTTTTCTTAATCGTCATAACTTTTTTTGATAAATCTTCCTTTCTGTGAAACATTTCCAACTTTTTATGTAGAATTCGATGGAATAAGTTAAGTTTCCCTCAAAGCAATATTTTAGCAGTTATTGACATAAAAATGACTTTTTTAAATGGAACACCCTATATATTTTTGCAAATTCGCCGAGTGCATAAAATTTCCTTTCCAAAAATATAGCCCACTTTCGTACAAGTCTTCTTTGAAATATACAACTTTAAAACTTATATGTACAGTTTTTGCAAAAGTAGGCTTTGGAAATAAAAGAAAAACGAGATTATATTTATAAGTAGTATCAAGATAGTTGGTTACAATGAATTTAAACATAAATTCATAAACAAGAAGCGGATTAAATTAATAAAACTTATTATAAAACAAGAATAAATATATGGGGCAACAAATAACAACAAAAGTAAAACCCTTTTCTATAGAAAAAGTTCAAAATGTCCCCAAAATGGTTTGTGTTATACACAGTTGACATCTTTTTTTGGCCCTATTTGCCGAGTTAATAAGCTCAATAGACCTAAGTGTTGCAAAAGCGTTCACAACTGCGGCTTCTAATTGCTGTCAGGAATTTATTGGAAAAAATCCATAGGTGTTAGATCCGGTGACCGAGCCGCTCAACGAATAGAACCTTGATTATCTAACCAACAATCACCAAAAGCTGCGGTCAAAAAATTGATGACAATAGCAGCATTGTGCACATTTCGCAGGTGCGCTAGAGGTAAATCGTCAACAACAGGTTCGATTTGTTGCCTAAATATGTTCAAATATTTTATTTGTGCTATACACCAGCACTACTCACATACGCTTCATCTGTCCAAATACAATTTAAAGAAAAATTGCGTGCTTCGTCACATTTTCCCAAGAACTATTGGCAAAAATTCATGCGCCGTTCAAAATCTCCTGGTCTGAGGTAATGGACTTTGATATAATATGAATATTTTCAAAATCTGCCTAGCTTTGGTTCTTGGAATTCCCGTCGTTACACTCAATTGCCGCGTTGATATCTGTCGATTATTTTCCATTGCCCCAAAAAGTATTACTTCTTCTAATTCCCCGTCTTCATTCGGTGTATAACTTTTTGATCTTTTCTCTTCTTAATCTTTCTTTCTTAATCTTCTAAAAATATTATTAAAAGGTTGCCGCCTCTCTGGATCTCGTTCATGATATAAATTTCCTGCAGCCTCTGCATTCCCCCCAAATTGTATAAAACAAGCTATTATGTCCCATTTTTCATAATTTTTATATGACATTATTTTGAAAGTTGAAGCACTAACACTTAAAACTTGAATCAAAATTTGAAAGATAGATACCCATAGACTTAGATTTTTTTCGATATGCGGTTTTTGCCATTAAGTTTTTTATAAAAATCGAACCTCAGACAGT